TTTCCGCCCATTTGAACCCTCTTCTTCCTAAACCAGGTGCCTGGATTGGTTTTCCTCTTCCTTACCTGTTCCACTTCCTTTCCTTTCTTTTCCTTTCCTTTCCTTTTAAAGGATTGCTATGTGACCAAAGAGGAAGTAAAGAGCAAGGAGAAGAAGAAAAAGAGGAAATTCTTAATCAGCCTTGTCTATAGCTTGTTAAGGTAGCTTTGCTGTGTCTCCTGCAGATCTGGATGGCCAGAGCAGAGCTGCCTTAACAAGCTACAAACAAGGCTGAATGCCTATTTCTTCCCATCTTTGCTGACTCCTGTGTGTTCAGCTGCAGTGAATTAACCCATGGAAACCCAACTTCCAAAGTGCAACTTCGCAGCAAATCCATTCATATTATTTTTTCACTCTGTAGTTGCACCCTAAAATGACGATGATCACTTCAATTATTTTTAGTTGTTTTCTGATGAGAAAACCCAAAGAGATCTTTTAAAATCTTTACAACCTATTTTTGTCATTTTGCTATTTTCTATTTTATTTTACTGCTGTTTTCCTTTCGATTTGTATGTTCTGCTACCTTTGGTGTTTTTATTGCTGAAGAACAAAGGGTGCTGATTTTTAAAATATTTATTTATTTCATTTGATGGGATTATTTCTTTTTCCCATTTCCAAGGGAAAACATAAAAGTGCTGGGATTTCTAGGAAAGTGTATATTAGGGAGATCCATTTCCTGTTCTTGTCTGTTTCTAAGAGATGAGAGAGATATTCCATAGCTTCCCAAGACGAGCTTTAAGTGTTTGTATTTAGGAAAACTTTCCTGTTTCACCAGAATTAACCTCCCTGCTGCATACAACCACTGTTTCTTGTCCCGTTCTCACTTATCCGTTGTTTCTCCTCTTCATTCTGACATTCCTTAGTACAGTATGTCTGCAAATAGTCAACACATTTCCACTTAATCTTTTAACTACCTTCCTTCACCCTTTTTGTCACATTATTATTTTCAAAACTCTTTATTATCCTTATAGCTTTTCTCTGAATTCCTTGCAACTTAACTTCCGTCTTGAACTGTGGTGCCCAGAACATGGGAAATGGAGAAGACCTCACTAGGGCTCTGTAAAGTGTGCACTTCCTCTCCATTTCTTGGAAATGAAGCTCTCCTTGAATGAAAGGCAGCAAATCAGACCCTGAAGAGAAGCTCATGAGACTCTTCTCTGTTGTTCAGTGATGCAAAGGTTATGTGCATATTAGATGTTTACAAATGCCCTTGGAGATTTTCAAGGATTTTTCACCCAAGTAGATGCCTCAGCTCAGCATAGATTTATTCTTCAACAACCCAGTCGATGACATGCCTTAAGATTGCACAAAATAGTCTCTTCAGAACGAATATCTCCTGAAGATTTGGCTGATTAATTCAAAACTTAATAAGTGAAATGTAGCACTCCCCTTACAAACATCTCTTTCGGTCAACAGATCATAAAGTGGCAGAGATATGGCAGAATTCAGAGGAAGGGTGCAACGTGTAACTTCTACCAAGGGGCAACGGCCCAAAAAGGGTCAACAGATTGACCCCAGAAAAAAGGGGCAACAGATTTGCTGATCAGTTAATTGTATTTAATGAATGAATGAATGAATGAATGGAATTATAAACTTTTAATTCTACTGCAAACAGGCCAATTCAATTAAAAATTTAGGAATCCTCAAGAAGACTAAAATTTTTTTTGCCTTTTCTTGAATATCTGGCTACTTGAGTGACTTTTTCCCTACTCATCTGTCCTTTGCAATTTTAAGAGTTTTATCAGTCATCTAACTTAGGCTTTTGTTTTATTTTGGCAATAAAATTGTGCTTTTTGCATCTTCCCTAATAATTTCTCTGGTTTCAGTCCACTGTTCTTCTAGTTCACAGTCAGGTTTGATAATGCTAATCTGTTCTTTATATGGGCTTCAAACAAATCAGAAATGTTGTTAAAATTATATTTTGGCAATGTTATTCTTTTAGTACTGTATTCTTTTTTGGTACTTTAAAAAATATTAAGACTATATGGTCAGTACCATAGTCTACTCCTGGTCTTGTTCTGGCAGAGAGAACACAACTTCTCAGTCTACTACAGTACTTTCAATTATGTAGTCTATTTGATTTCTGTCTTGGTCTCCTGGTGATATCTATGTGTACAGCAGTCTATTCAGTTATCTAAAACAAGTATTTACAATAAACAGATTGTTGGTTTTACAAAAGCCTATGCATTATTCTCCTGCTTCATTTCTGACTCTAAAGCCCAATTTTCCGACAAAATTTGATTTGTTGGGGAATGACTGCCCTTCAGCCCTGCTTATGTTTTCTTACTGGGGGTCTGAAAAACAGTACAGAGTAAATCTCAGTAATGAAACAATAAAGCTTTATTGCTTTCGAAAGCAGAGACACCCATTACTGTATATGTATAATGTGGGTCTCACCAAATAATAAAATAATGGCTCTTTTATAAATTGTAAATGGAAAATTCCAGTGTACAAGATGACAATGAGCAGGAATGAATAAAATACTGAAAAGCAGCTAAACAGTCTTTCTCCGATAGGCTATTTAGAGTATGTGATCAGGAAACACTTTATCTACTCTAACACCTCTGCTTGACGTGACCTGGTGAATAAACTATAAACTTTCTGGACGTTCTTTGATGCCCAGTTATGAACACTTCCATGTTCTCTCTCTTCACCCTCATTCCCTTCTTTTTCCCCCCTAACACTTCAGATTCTATCTTCAGTGAAACGTCATTCATCTGTTATTCATGATCAGTCCTCAATAGGGAGCGATTTAGGAAAAGAATTTATTTGGCCAGTATGATACAATAAAGATACATATCGACAACAACAGGAAATAGAGATATCATCAATTATGAAAATTCAGTGACTAATTCAATAACTAGTATGAGAGTCTCATGACACAGTGGTTAAACTGCATTACTGCAATCAAGTCTCTGCTCACAACCTGAGCCGATGGGTTCAGTTAGGTGGCTCAAGTTTGACTCAGCCTTCCATCCTTTCCAAGCTTGCTGGAGGGGGTGATATGTAGCCTGAACAACTAAATTGTAAACCACCGAGAGAGTGATTTAAGTGCTGTGAGGTGGTATATAAGCAGCAGTACTCTGCTTTACTTTCAAAAGAAGCTTTAGTATTTTCCTCAATCACGGCTTCAAATTGAATCCATGACCAGAAATCAGTTCCATGACAATATTCTGCCACCTGGTGCAAGTGGCAGAATACAAGCTGTATTATTTTGACATCACTAGCAATTATTCCAGATTTATTTACATATGTGCTATGAGATGTGTTAAAATAGACTCCACCTTATTGCGCTAAATCTTTTATCTAGAAGTTGATGATTTTGTATTGCCATCTGAACTGTCAAATCAGTCTTAGTCTGTAATGCGAGCAAGGTCTGGGCAGTTGGATTCTCAAGAATTTAAAGAGAAATATTCTTAAAAGCTTTTTTTCTAATGCAAAAATTCCTATTCCAGAAATTATGTGCCTGAGAACTTTTTAAACAATCATTTTCCTAAAGAAGTAACATGGATTTTAAGCCACTAAAGAATTTTGGGATTGTTTTTGTGTAGATACTCATATATAAATATCTGCCCCTTTTAAAAAAAAATTCATGGAAATATATAGACACACAGCACCATCTACTGGAATAATAGGTCCCTCTTATACTTTCAGCATGTCAGTAATTGTTCCTAGAAAAAAATATTTGTTCATCTTGTGCCAAGTTGAAGAAGCTATGAAAGAAATATGTTTTTATAATTTTGCATGCGGCCATTTCCCAGACAGTGAGATCTATGGGACAACACTTCAGACAAAAGCACAGTCATTTCTAATTCATAAGGGCCACTGAAGAGTAATTCCAAACTTTAATTGGTATTTATGTCCCATACAATACTGTTACCCGGTATGCTCTCAGAATACATAGATGAATGCATATCTGTATGGGATTGTTGTAATTTGACTGTGGTGTCTCTGGGAAAGAGTGATCCCCGGTAAATCACATCCATATATAATATAGGTCTACTATATTGGTATATGGTATATTCTGATATACCCATACATAAGATAAAATAACAGCTAATAATGGAGTTGCACTTCCTCCATGGTAAACCCTAAAACAAACAGCTAAGTAAGCAGCACACTTTTTTCTTCAGAATAAGGAGGTACAGTATTAAGTTGCAAAGCAAATTCACAAGCCTCAGAGTGGTTGGAAGAGGCTGGCCCAGGCTTTTGCTAGAACGGTTGCCTAGTGGTTAGCTGCTGGTCACACACACAACCCTAGGGGAAATTTGAGGGAGAGAAGGCAGGAGCTGGTGTTCTGTAACAGCATTCCCTGCATTATTTCAAAAAGGGTAGCTGTGTTAGCTTGTTACAGACATACAAAGAAAAACCCAATAACACGAGAGTCTTGTCCTGTATACTTCAAAATAGCTTTATTATAAATTTATTATCCTGCATATACATTTATTACAAATGTGTTGCAGCGTAAGTCTCGGTGCATTGGAGGACGTGGGCCGTTGTTGTCATGTGCCTTCAAGTGACTTGCAACCGATGGCCAAGCCACGAATCCGTGTCCTCCAAAAAGTTAAAGTGTCCCCAACTCATCTCCTGCAAAATCAAGGCTGTGGTTTCCTTTACGGAGTCAATCCATTTCACCTGGGGGGTGGGTTTGCTTCTTCTGCCGCCTTCCACTTTCCCTCGCATCACTTGTCTTTTCCAGGGACTCTTGCCTTCTCACGAAATGCCCCAAAGTGGGGCGAGAAGCCAGGAAAGCCCCACGCATGGTTAACCCTTGAGGGGCTGCAGGATGCTCCTGCTTTACTTTCGCACCCAGTCACCAACCCTACGAACCGGGAGAGAGAAAGAGAGAGAGAGAGAGAGCCGACCAGCTCGCATGTAGTATTGCCGAGGCGCGCGAGAGGAGGTGAACGGAGTCGGGCGCGCGCTGGCCGCGGAACGGCGTAGGCCCGGGCGGCCGTTGCCAAGGCTCGCACCTGCCGTTGCCAAGGCAACCCGCGCCGCCGCCGCTTCTCCTCGGACTGAGCCAGGCCGGGCCGAGAAGGCCCCGCTGAAGAAGAGGGGCCACCATGAGCGGCGGGGGCGGCCGGGGCGACACCGAGAGCAGCAGCTCGACCGCTTCGGTTCTGGCCGAGCTGGACTGGGACGATGGGTTCGCCATCCCTGTGGCCAATGCCGAAAACAAGGCTCTGGAGGAAGAGGCAAGGGGGGGTGTCCCGGCAGCGACCGGGGGGGGGGTCGTCGGGTAGGGCCCCACTGCCCGCTTTATGGGGCCGGCTGGGCAATAGGGGTAGCACGCTCCTCAGAACACCCGTCCCCCAAATTTTGCCTTTCTTTAAATGGGGAGGGGGACTTGAGAGGTTTTTTTTTAAAAAAATTGGGCCGTTGTGCTCTATTGCTTTTTCTGTATTGATTTTATTTACCATTTTTAATATCGGTCTTGTTTAACTTTTTTTTAAAAAAAAATATTCGCCTACGTCTCGTTTTTTGCTTTTAAATATGGGTCCTTTTAATGAGATCAGCCGCCGTGGCTCCTCTCTAAGGAGAAAGGTGCGGTAAAAACTATTTTAAATCGCAATAAATAATAACCCACCGGTTCTGGAAATTAAAAACAAGGGCAGGGGCTTCTTCTCATGCCCCGAAGCGGAAATTCCCAAAATAAAATGAGACCCAACAGAAACAGAGATAACGGAAAGCTTCCCTGGACTCCAAGGAATGCCTCCCCATAAGAGGCACGTTGTTGTGTCTCTGCATAATTTCTTCGTTATTCATTGATCTCCTCCTTGTTTCTCACAGTCAAACCCCACTGCAGGATGGGGGGGATGTTGATGCAAGCCCCAGTCATTTTGAACCTGGAATATTCGGTCACTTCCCAGTACAGTACATAGATTTCTGCAAATGAGAGCTTAAAAGGAGGCTTGTTAAATCAGGTTTAGTGGAGTTGCTGTTCCTCATGCTGCTTGCCCCCTGCCCAAGAGTGTACAGAGGCATGGCTTGGGAAAGAGAGGCTCTTATTTCAGCAATCATTTATTTATTTATTTATTTATTTATTTATTTATTTAACTTATATTTCACCCACTCTGCCAAAAGGTTTCTATCATTGACCGGCTCATGGCTGCTAATAGAAAGGTGGCGGCTGCAGCTTAGCAGGACTGCATTGAACTTGCATTGACTTTACTGCCTTCCAGTAAAGAGTATACTGTACTTTCTTATTTTGCTGCAGAAAAAAAGGCTCTCTAAGGGTTGAGAAATATTGGAGAGTTGCTTGTGGCTACCCACTCTGCCAAAAGGTTTCTATCATTGACCGGCTCATGGCTGCTAATAGAAAGGTGGCGGCTGCAGCTTAGCAGGACTGCATTGAACTTGCATTGACTTTACTGCCTTCCAGTAAAGAGTATACTGTACTTTCTTATTTTGCTGCAGAAAAAAAGGCTCTCTAAGGGTTGAGAAATATTGGAGAGTTGCTTGTGGCTGCAGTGTTTCGGGATCTCTTTCCATAATGAACAGGAGGAAAGACCGTCTAACTTTGGGGATGAAGAATCTTTGGTTCCATCCAGATTTCACAGGACGACAGCTCCTAATATCCAGGATCGCTGTCCATCCTGGCTGAGATTGAGCATAACTGGAGTTCGGTACCAACAGGAGGGCCATATGTTGTGCAATACTGTTTTTCCAACAGCCAGGTCTCATAGCAGGACATAATGGCAGCAACTCTCTGTAGTTTGTTCCCACCAACTAATATTTAGAGATAGATTGCCTTGTGATATGGAGGTTCTAAATTAGAGGTCAAAGCTGATAGGTGCAAGTAAACTTATTCTCTGTAAATTTACCTATTCCTAGATTGCCTTGTGATATGGAGGTTCTAAATTAGAGGTCAAAGCTGATAGGTGCAAGTAAACTTATTCTCTGTAAATTTACCTATTCCTTTTAAAATCCCACCTAGATTATTATCCGCCTTTACTATGTTTTATGGCAGTAAAGTCCAGCATATTTGCATTGTGATGTGACTTTGACTCCCCTCCTCCTTCAGTATCCAAAGCATCTTCAGCCATTGAGTGTTTACATAATGCAGGGCTGCATATGGGGCAAATTATTACAAGAAGAGAGGGCAGTGGGGTCAAATTGTCTTTAAAGGTATAGTATATAGTACAAACAGTCCTAAGATTGGTTTTCTCACAAGAAATCACTGGCTGTATTTATGTTTGAAAGATCTTTCTCTTCCCTGTTCCACCTTACTTCTAAATACACTGCTATCTCAAAGTTGGACTGCTTACCTGCTGCTTACTACGTATTGCTGTTTTTCAGTAACGTGAAAATTTATTGAATGTTTTTTTACAGCTTCAAAAGATCCAGAAAGAGAAGGCAAACTTGCAAAATCAGTTGACTGATTATGAAGATCGTATTGCAGCAATGACATCACATTTGAAGAATGTGAGGCAGGAGTTTAATTTGACACAGGTATATGTTTGAGATTTTTTTTTCCTTTACTAAAATGTGCAGTACAATTTTGTGTACATTTATTCTAAAAATAAAACTTATTATATTTGTTGAGGCTTCCTCTCAGGTAAGCATGCTCAAGATTTCTGCCTTAATAATCTATTATTTTATTTTATTTTATTACTTTATTCATGCCTTTAATTTATTTATACGCCACCTTTCTCCCCAAGGGACTCAAGGTGGCTCACAACAGATAAAACTATAGAACAAACACAGTTTTAAAACACTATATAAATATCGTATCAGAAACAAACAATTAAACCTATATTAGGATTAAAAACCAAGATTAAAAACAATTGCTTCTATTGTGGAGCTCATCGTACGTACAGTTCTCAGGTGTTCTCCCACTCATACCCTGGCAAAATTCAGACCTACTTAGCTTTAACAAAATTGCTGTGTCATGTGCTTGCTACCTGTGTCTGTGAAACCAGCCACACAGATTAAGCAATAAAGCATTCTGAACTCAGTGGAATTTAATTCAGAATTAGCCAGCCAGTCATACAAAAATCATATGTACTGGATAACAACAAAGTATTTATCAAGTGAATCTACAAATTCGTTCTGTCTCATAATTCAGTCAATATGTTTAGAATTGTAGTGCAGTCGTAATCCTATACTCAATTAATAGAGAATATGTCATACTTAACTCCATATAAGACTGTGTAGCTTAAGGCAACCCAAAACCAAAAAATGAAATGCTGAATGCTCTTCTTTCTATATTCTCTCTCCATATTTTTCTTCTTCCATAAATTTAGAGACTCTTTTCCAAGAACATGGTACAGTGGTGCCTCGACTTAACGAACGTCCCTACTTATGACCATTTTGAGTTACGACCAGCTCCGGCTGCAAAATTTTGCTTCTAGTTGTGACCGGAGCTTCGACTTACGAACAGGAAAAGGCAGGGGGGAAAGGTGGGAAATTCAAATTTCTAGCTGTAGGTGGCGACGAGGCTGCTTCTTTTTAGCTCTTTCGCCCCAGCAGTTAGAGACTGTGCATTGGAGGAGGAGGCTTGGGACTGCCTCCTTCTGCTTCTGAGTGTGTGTGTGTGTATGTGTTTTCAGAGAGGCTTTGGGGTGCCTGGTAAGGTAAGGTGCTGCTTTCTGCTTTTTAGTAAACTGTTCTGGGTGGTTTTGCAGCGTGGTTTTGAGCTGGGGGGTTATGTTTCTGTGCTGTGATTGGTCTTGGGGTGTTTGTTTGTTTGTTGGGTTCCCCCCATTTCTGATGGGTCTTGGGGGGTTTGGTTGCTTTTGGGGTTTTCCCCCAATTCCGATGGGTCTTGGGGATTTGTTTGTTTTTTGGCTCCCCCTCCCATTTTTGATGGGTCTTGGGGTGTGTGATTGCTTTTGGGGGTTCCTCCCATTTCTGATGGGTCTTCAGGGTTTGGTTGCTTTTTGGGGGGTTCCCCATTTCTGATGGGTCTCAGAGGGTTGTTTGTTTTTTGGCTTCCCCCCATTTCCAATGGGTCTTGGGGGTTTAGTTGCTTTTGGAGGGTACCCCAATTCAGATGGGTCCTACATGCTTCCCTTGCTTTTTAGTTGCTTTTGGAGGGTTCCCCAATTCAGATGGATCCTACATGCTTCCCTTGCTTTTTCCTTTGTTCTCTGTGCATTTACAATCTGCTCCGTTTGTTTTCTGTGCATTTCCAATGGGTCTTGCACGCTTGATTGCTTTTCTCCCCCCCCTTCAGATGGAAGGGATTAATCGTGTTTCCAGTGAGTCTTGCAGTGATTTTTTTTTTGTGATTTTTTTCTTCAGCCGGAATGGATTAATTGCATTTCATTGTGTTCCTACAGGAAATAGTGCTTCGACTTATGATCATTTGGAGTTACGTCCATCTTCTGGAATGGATTATGGTCATAAGTCAAGGCACCATTGTATAGTTTATCTAGCCCCTACAGATAAATAGACTATCAAGTCTTTATAGTGTAAAGATACATTAAGTGCCTAAAATAACAGTAAATCCTAATGCAAGAAATGTGGCAGTGCAGGATCTTAAATTTGGTAAGTCTGAAATGTAGGAATTATTTATGAATTCTGCTATTATGTTTAGGCATTGAAGGTTTATAATACATTGTTAAATTATTATTTTAAATAATAAAAGCCAGAGATCTTAATAAATTTGTTCTAGCTAAACAGTGCCTGGTTGAATTTCTTTTTTGAAAAGGAAGAAATATTTTATCTAGCAAATAAACATGTACAGATACACATATATAAATAGACAAATGAAACTGTACAAATGTCAGTTAATTCATACAGCAGCTCAAAATATTAAGATCTTCCCAGCAGACATGGTTCCTGAATAAAACAGATGTATATATGAATACTATTAACTGTATATTTCTTCTGATTTTAATGATCAGAAGTAAAATAATGGATTCAAAATCTCACCTGAAGTTTTGTGTCACTAGGACAACTATAGAAAACTGATACAAGATATTAATCTTTTGTTATATGAAACCCATACCTTTTTATCCTAAATACCTATGTATGGGGTTGTTTGTATGTTTTAGAGATTCAAACCCATTTTTCTTAACTCCTCTTTAATTAAAAAAAATTGAAACACTAAAAAGCACTTGTGAATCATTGCTGCTCATTAACCTTGCAAAATAATTAATTGCCGTTCTCTTTAGTCTCTTCTTAGAGCCAGACAAAATGAAATTGAAACGGAACAGCATTTTAAAGCCCTCGCCGAGAGAGAAGTGGGGCGCCTGAAAAGTGAGATTCAAAGGCTGGAGAATGAGATGGTTTCATTAAGAGAGAAGAAAAATAGTCAAGAAGTATGTTTCAAGTATTTCTTCCAGGGTGTGAGAAATGCCTTGCCAAATACATGATTTTTCTCCACTGCTGTTCTTGCATTGAACTGCATTAGCTCCTTAAACAAAAGAGATAACATGGCAACAGTTTTTACATTAGTACCTGCGTTTTGTTGGGGTGGGGGGAGGTTGGAGCTTTCCTTTCTACACTGTTTTAACAATAGAAGCATTTTAAGATACTCATGTTTTGGAAAAGCAACAGTATGTGGAAATGGTAATACAAATGCTTCTCTTGATCTATATTATTGATCTATGTCTCATTTTCATCAGCTTATCTTCCACTAGCTCTTTAGGGGGAAACTATGACTGAAATCCTGTTGCACAGTATAATAAGTCAAAACTAGAGTCGGTCCATTGAATAGATTTAGTGAATCAACTTCTCTGTAAGTTCCGTTGATTCAATGAGCCTTCTCTAGTTGCAATTTATATCACTCAGCAACAGGATATCAGCCTACGTTAGGACCCGCATATAGATGCAAGATCAGTATCAGCCGATTCACTTCTCCACAGTCTGAAAATATTACAAATTTTAAAAGAGAAATTCCCAGAAATATATATTTCTAACAAATACGTTCCTAGAACTAGCTACTAGAGGGAGCCAGAGATCGTGCCATATTAGATTAGATTTTAGATAAGGCATCCTTCAGTCTCGAGAGACTATGGTAACATGCTCTGAATAGAGGACTTGGAACAGTGTCTAGTGTGGCTGAGAAGGCCAATCCAAGAGTGACCATCCCTTCCACACTGAAGACATATACAATCTGTCCCCTGCCCAGCTCCCTTATTTTGCTGGTTTCGGGACTGCCTCTTTGCCTTGGCCTGCTGAACAAGTGCCTCTTCAAATTGGGAGAGGCCATGTTGCACTCCCTGCTTCCAGGCTAAACACTCAGAGGTCAAGGTTTCCCATATGTTGAGGTCCATTCCTAAGGCCTTCAGATCCCACTTGCAGATATCCTTGTATCGCAGCTGTGGTCTCCCTCTGGGGCAATTTCCCTGCACTAATTCTCCATACAGGAGTTCTTTTGGAATCCGACCATCTGCCATTCTCACGACATACCCAAACCAACATAGACATTGTCTATATATAGGGTTCACTATTATAATAGTGTTCATTGCATTTTTAGCATCTGTGAGAGGGAGGGCCTTGGAACTGCTCCCCCATGGATTTGGAGGTCCTATTGTACATGCAACATTGTATATGCTTACATGAAATCAGATCATGAGTCTAGCAGTGTTTCTCCAGGGATTCAGGTCTTTCCCATCATCTTCCTGATCCTTTTAACTGGATACACTAAAAGCTTTTTAAACTTGGATTTGTTCATGGAAAGTATGCATTCAGTGGGGCAGCTACGGCCCACCCATATCAGGCATAATGCTGCTTAATCTTCTAATCATTTAGGAGATCGTGTCATGTAGGTTTGTGCTGTCTCCCTTCTGCTGCTCCTGTTAGGAGAAAAATCCAAGTGGTTTCCCGCACCAAGTTTGGAGCTATAGCTTTTTAAATTGGACTCTCTTTTTGATTTTTTAAATCACCATAATTATTGCTATACTCTTATTAAGCATCACCAGTAGGAACAATCTGCAAAGTGCCTGTGTTACAAATTTAAAGATGGAATTGCCCAAGTTTGTGTTGGAAATAAATCTCTGGAAATCTTTCTCTTTTGGATAGCATTTAATATTCAGTTTCTGAATTGAATTTGTAGTAACAAATGGGTTGTGCTTATAATTCATATGCTATATTTGTCGTTTGCAGATGCTTTTTGTAATTATGATTTTTGCCATACATACACACACATTTAGGTTGGCTTCTAAAAACCCCCACAAAACTAGTTCTGTGAGCCCAAGCTTTACAGAGCAAAGATGCTACAGGTATAGGCAGATAAAGTAAACCAAAGTTTCTTTTTCTCTTCTGCCAGTGGAGCCCTTGTGATAGTGGTTTGGAGCAATTTATCAGCAGAAAAAAAAAACCAAAAGCAAAACAGAGAAAGGATGGGCAAAGGGAGGAGACAAGTTATGGTACATTAAAAACTCATCCGACTCAGGGACACATCCTCTATATCACTGGTGGTGAACCTTTTTTGGGCCTGAGTGCTCAAACTCGAAAAACAAACACCACACACACAAACCCAGCAGGCAGCGGAATTGGAAGTGGCAGCGGAAGGGGGAATACCTGGCACAGAGGTGCCTCCAGACCCCACTCCAGATCCAGCACCAGCTGCTCCGGATCCTGGCCCACCTCCTGTTGAAGCGCCAGCACCGTGGCTCCAGCCGCCTCCTGAGGTTTGGCTACAGGGAGGGAGTAGCAATCCAGCGACTTACGGCTCACGTGCCCGCAGAGAGGGCTCTGCATGCCAGCTGTGGCACGCATGCCATAGGTTCACCACCACTGCTCTATATAATAATAACAGCGTGCCATCAAGTTAATTCTGATTTATGGTAACCTCGATCAGGGTTTTTTAGGTAGAAAGTACTCAGAAGTAGTTTACCATTCCCTTCTTCTGGGGTCACCCTGGGACTGTGCAGCTTGTCCAAGGCCACACAGGCTGGCTGTTCTGACATGTACAGTAGGGAACTGAACTTCCAACCGCTGGTGCTGTAGCCAGATACTTAACTCACTGAGCTATTATATTCACTATGCCAGCACAAAATTTGGCAAGGACGAGGGCAGTCCTAAACAGTTTGCAACTTCTCTCAGCTAGAAGTGCTTTGAATTTAGTGCTTCCCTTTTGTCCTGGCTAATTAGAATTGCACTTATGGATTTGCTTTTTCTCCAATAGCAGTCCTTCATCATGGAGAATAAAAGGTGTTCCTAAGCAGTTTGTCATATGGCATGTAGAGGCAGCAACATTTGAACAGAAAATTCAACCGTTCTACTGCCTTTAGGCATGCCCCATCCATGTACCTAAACAAGCTTTGGAATCTCACTAGAGTAAAAATATCTACTGTATTTGCCAGCGTATAAGATGATTGGGCGTATAAGACAACCCCCCAACATTTCCACTCAAAATACAGAGTTTGTTATATACTCACTATATAAGACTACCCCCTCTTCTGCACACCTTCCACACACCAAATAAAAGGTGCTATTCATTGTCACCATTGTACGGCCGCAGCGCATCTCCCTGTGACCGGCGCTAATGCACAAGTGCACATGTGTAAGCTCTGTGTAGACAAGGGACAGGCCGGAGCTCCGCTGCTTTCCGCCGAGCAGAACGGGCCGGTCACGTCGAAAAGGCTGGCACCCGTCTCACTGCTGATGCTCGCCGCGGCTGCACTGGATACCGCACGATACTGGACGGTATGTAGAATGAGGTGGGCAGGCATTGGGAGGCTACTATGGGCACCGCACGAGCATCAGAAGGCCACTATGGGCAGCTATGTCTATCCCAACTGAAGTGCACCCAGCATATAAGACGACCCCCCCCCACTTGGAGGCAGGTTTTTCAGGGCAAAAAAGTAGTCTTATACGCCAGCAAATACAGTATTGTTATTCCCCTACCCTTAAATAGCAGTACTGAACTGGATGTTTGGCAGGATATCTGCATTTCTCTGCTTTTAAACAGTTTTTGCCTTGCCTATGGGCTTAACTTTTACTTCTGTTCTCCAAAGCTGCTGTGTGTGTGTGTGTGTGAGAGAGAGAGAGAGAGAATAACAGAGTCACTCACCCTGGGTTCATATGTGAACAGGACAGATGCATACATAAAACACATGACTGCCCATCTCATCTGGTTTGACCCAAAGACACCAATATAAGCCACGACTGAAGAGCAGCTTGCATGCCCATATGATATGCCCTTATTTACTGGAGGCCACAACTGCCTATGATATAACTCAACTGTAAAGATGAGGGTATTTGTATATAAATATGACTGCCCCTGCACAGATGGACATAACGAGGGTCCACTGTCCACCCACCCTTCTGCTGTTGCCGTGGGCTCCGCGTGCCCTTCCTCTTGCTCTGGAGCTCACTGTCGACTAGCCACTCTTCGACCTGGCAAGGAGGCTTGCCGTCCCACTGCCTCCCAGGAGTGGCTAGTCAACCAGGAGCTCCGGATCGATAGGAAGGGCATGCGGAGCCCGCAGCAGCAGTGGAAGGGTGAGTGGACAGTGGACCCTCATTATGTTATGTCCACCGGGGTATTCATATTTGTATACGAATATGAATATCTCCATCTCTACTCAACGGCTATATGGGTTAATGAACCACAATATGATTGACCAGCATACTGGTTTACCACTTTGTTCCTTTCTTTGTGTAAGCAGAAGAGCAAACTAGGAAAGAGCTTTTTGTGATATCCAGACATAAAATTATTATTAGTTTTACCCAAGAAAGTCAAGATTAGGGTTTCTCGTTGACTTATGAATCTTGGTTCTTCCAAGTGCAGCAAACTATGATTCTGGGCTTGAATGCCACAAATGCCTTTCCTCATATGTTTTATCTTCTTGTGCGAAGCAGGGCTACAAGGGCTGCATGATCTAGCATAATTTGTATTCACGTTCTGGCTTATTAAGGCACAGTTCATGGCTTAAAATAACATATTAATGTGATCTTTGTAGTTCCTAGAGGGGAATAATAGAGGACTGCAAGATATATAAAAACTGATCCTGAAATGACTGAATTGTCCAAGTACTGTACTGGCCTCGGTTGAATAATAACATAGTTTTAAAGAATGAAGAGGTTTGTGGATCTTCTAAGAATATTACCTTGCATGATTTTTTATTATGTCTAATGCATTTTTGCTTCTTCACCTTTGTTAGAATAATATTTTCAAAGTGACTCAGAAGCTGGAAGCTTTAAGATGCCAAATGAACTGGGACCAACAAGCTTTGGAGGCTTGGTTAGAAGAGTCGGCTCGTAAAGATAATGATGCAGTCACAATCCAGAAATATGCACAGCAGGATGATAATAAATTACGAGTAAGTGTCATTTTATTTTTATCACTCGTGCATGATTTTATTTAAGTAAAGAAAATCCTCATTGTATTCTCCAGAACATAGCCAAACAGCACAAAAAACCTACAACAACCATAAAATCCTTATTACTTTCAGTGTCAGGTTGTGAAGGAGAAGGAGTCAAACTAGAGATGACGTGGGAGATATATGACTATCTGCAAACACCCTTAATTTTATTTTAGTGTCACAGAGAACTCTGAAGTTGATCAGAGCAAATTTAGAATCTCTTACTCCTTCATTAAAATAAGACCAAAAGCTGTCATGAGACACTTCATATGCCTAATTTGGCTCTGGGTATCCTTCCTAAATTGTTTCCAATGGGCTAAAATGCAAAAGGTATTCTTGTATAAGGAATTCAGAAATCTAGTAAGTATCCAGTTAGCATGAAACATAAATTCTCCTTTAAATATCTTGAACTGTTTTTCCAATATGCTAAAGCCAAATGCTAAAATTTAGTGTCAGGCATTAGTTAAATTGGTCTGGATATTTGGCTTTCCAAATTGCTCTATCAGTTTACAGCAATATGTGGTGTGGAATTTTAAGCTAGCTAATCTTTGGTTCCCTTCTCAAAGTCTTGACATTTCCTGACCCTTAAATTCTATCTTATTTGAAAACTTGGCAATGGTAATATTTTAGTATCTCCTAACAGTATTTTATATTATTTGAGTGTAATATTTAAAAGAGTAAGTTTCACTCTCTTTCTTTTTAGGCGTTGACTCTTCAGATAGAAATGCTGACTGTGCAGTGTAATAACAGGCGCAGAATTCTTGATAATGAGCTGACAGAAACTTTAGCTGCTCAGGTTTGTTTGGCAATGCATTGGACAATAAATTTTGCAGTTGCACTTCAGGTGATTATAACCATTGCTAAATCTTGGTAACTCTTTCGTTTTCTCTTTACAGATAGAATTAGATAAGACAGCTGAAGATTTCCGGAGAGTTCATCATGAAAGACAAGAACTTATCAGACAATGGGAAAACACCATAGAACAAATGAAGAAAAGGGATCAAGAAATAGATAACTGTGCCTTGGTAAGCCATTTTCCAAAATCTTGATTTATTAAGATAGGGAATATCATTTGGGCATCCATTTTAGTAAAAGATAAACGGCTGTGTTTACTCCTTTTCAAACTAGCTTTTAGCACAAGCAAGACGGGCAACCTGTGCAAAGGAGAGCGTGCTCAAAGACAAGATTCAGTTTTTGGCTAATGAGAGTGGCAATAATGCAGAATACGAGAAGAGAATAGCCATAGCTGACCGACAAGCTGCCAAACTCAGATTAGACTATCAGAAAGAGGAAGCTAATCGAAATCAGTTCCAGGATGAGGTAAAAAAAAATTATATGTACCAACCTATCATATGGAGTCTGATCTTCGTAATCTTTCAGTATAGTCTCACGGAACAAATTCTCTCTCTGAGCAGTATAACAGATGTATGGGGAAGCCTGAACTAGTCCAACGGAGCATAACTGTATCCTCAGAAGCAGAGACAGATTTCTGAAGCAGAGTACAGTATTTCTTTTGTCTGTTTTATTTATCTAGATATTAATCGTACTTTTCAAGATCCAGAGCAACTAGTCATGTTTTTAAAACTGTATAAATATGTTGGGGGGGAAAACAGCTAATACAGCAACCCTAGCCCCCAGATTTTCTGGCTGAAGGAGATTATAATTGGGCACAAGTTTACCCAGCAGAAAGAAGCTCCACAGAATATTAGCTTCACTTTGGACACTCTCAGTATATTTATGAAAAGTTCTACAGATAGAAACTTTCCATTGCCTATGTTTCTGCCATTAGGATGCCCGCTCCCCTTCCCCATTGGTCCATTTCTAAAGGCAGATTGAAAGTGTCCTTAGAGCAACAGTATGCAAGGCTCCTTCATTCTACAGAGAAGCCATAGATGACTTTGGTTGTTGTGGGTTTTTCAGGGTCTTAGGCCGTGTTCTGAAGGTTGTTCTTCCTAACATTTTGCCAGTCTCTGTGGCCGGCATCTTCAGAGGACAACACTCTGTGCTCTGGTGCAGTTTGTTTGGGAGTTGAGTATTTATGGCTGTGAGATCAGCTTTTTCAGGAGATGGGTGATTAGTGTGTGTCATGAGTGCTTCCGAAGATCTGGACCCAGAAGGGTTAACTGTGGCTGAGGAAAATGTGGAGAGATCGGAAACAGCTGAGCAGCCTCCAGGTTCTCCCTCCACAGCAGACAGGCTTCGGGGCAGGCTTCGGAAAACACTCAGGGCAAGAAGAGCAGAGGTTCGCTCTAAGGCTTTCCTCAGGGACCTGCGTTCACCTAGCCCCGAGTACTAGCAGAATAGAGAACTTTCCAACAGCTCAGGGAGCTGCTTTAGGATAAAACAAGCTTCAGCGAAGCCAGAAACTTCGTGGAAGCAAGGAGTCAACATCTTGGCTGGCATCCACGGCTCTTGTTCCTGAACTCTGGACCTTGACCCTGGACCTGCGCTAGTATTGAACTTTGGACCTTAGCCCTGGATTACGTACTCTGGACTCTGACTGTGTATCTGACCCTGGACTTTGACTTTGGACTGCAGTCTGTAAGTTTGTTTCAGAACTCTGGTTTGCATTCTTGGTATCTCTGACCTTGGACTGGTTTATCAGACTTCGGCTATTGTAATCCCCGGGAACGTGACAGTGTGTCTTGTTGTGGGGGTATTGTTGTGATAAGGAGGAGAGATTATCTCTCCCTGTGATTGATGGGTGTCATTAGCTTGGTCTTTTGTGTGTAGTGATCCCCGGCCCTTGTGGCTGTGTAGAGTTCGTTGACCTTTTGCACGCTGCATTCTTCAGAGCTGAGAGCCAAGTTTTGTTGAGTTTCAAACTTTCCTCTTTTTTGTTGAAGTTCTGCTGGTGTTTGTGGATTTCAGAACACAGCTGAAGAGCCCAAAAAACCCACAACAACCATTAGATTCCAGCTGTGAAAGCCTTCACAAATACATAGATGACTTTTTTCCCTTTCCATCACCCCTGGATCTAGAGGGGCTTGGAGAGCTACTGAAGAAGAAAATATTGCCTTCTTCCCTCACGTGTGGAAATAACAGAAGAGCTGCTGCTTCAGTCCTCTCTGATCCCTTAGTATTACTCTGTGTAATGTAATAGCCATAATATGTTCGATGTATGTTGTCTGATGCCTGGAAGAGCTTATAAACAAAAACATGCTTTGAACCCAGATGGATGAAACATTGACACAGTGATTACACTGCCGTACTGCGGCCAAGACTCTGCTCATGACCTGAGTTCGATCTGGACTGCGGCCAAGACTCTCCTCATGACCTGAGTTCGATCCCCATGGACTCAGGGTGCCAGTTTGAGGTTAACTCAGCCTTCCTTCCTCTAGAGATTGGTAAATTATGTATCCATTGTGCTAGGGGAGCAGGGTGTGACCTTCATAATTAAGTTGTAAACTACCCAGAGAGCGCTTTAAGCAGTATGGGCAGTATATGCACAGCATGCTTTGTTTTAGATTATAAAACTAGTCCTACATGTTAGAATTGACATCCATAGTTCTTTAAAAGTGTTGTCTTTTTGCCCTAACAGCAGTCTTGTGTAGTTGGTCAGTATGAAAATATTGTGCTCTGTAAAAGTGCCCTGAATAATTTCATCTGTTTTCTCAAAACTCATCTAATTAATGATTAGCTGGATACGTTGAAAGCTATGGTGGATGGAACGGCTTCTGAACTAGAATCTATGAGAACCAGTGTTTCTAACCTTAAGAAGGAAATCCAGGAAAAAACATTAAGGTAGGAATTAAATAACCTCGTTTTTTTCCAAAGTACCTTTCCTAAATATCTTTGTAAAATATACTAGAAGAATGGATGTATTAGATCATTGGTTCCCATCCTTGGGTAACCCAGGTGTTCTTACACTATAATTCCCAGAAGCCTTCATCACTAGCTGTGCTGGCTGGGGTTTCTGGGAACTGCAGTGCAAGAACACCTGGGTTACCCAAGGGGGAGGCAGTGCAAGCTGGGTTACCCAAGGGGGAGAACCACTGTATTAAATACCTTGGACAATGCTAAATGGTAAGTGCGCAAGGATAATCACTAAATGTTTGTTGTAGCATGTAATTTGTTTTCCTGTTTATAAAACCAATTAGTTATTTTCTTTTTGTGATCTTGAACATGGCTGCTGAAAGAAAAAAGTTTGATACTGTATATAAAATGAGTAGAAAGATTAATCAATAGTAACCAAACTTCTGTTGCTTAGTGAGGTAAACTACACTAGAGTAGGCTCAGTGAATCACGGGTTTTGGTGAGTCAACTCCTCTAAGTGTCATTGATTGAAGTGGTCTGCTTTGTGACTTAAATAAGCATAGAAATTTATAAGAAGATGAAGGGGCCTTGAACAATTTTTAAAAAATATTCTGTATTATATTTTCGTCATTAAAAGAGATTTAAAGATTAGTTTTAAATGGTTACATTTGGTATGCAAAATAGCTTAATAAGTGCTATTTATAACTGTGATGTAAGACAGTCTTAAATAGTAAGTTTTATTTTTTTAGAGTTATATGTATTTTAGATCAATGTGCAGATTTCAGTTGTTGTTTCGCTGTGTAACTCTCTTTTTCACCCCCTGCTTAGGCTAAACTTAATTAGGGACCAGAATGAGAGTCTTACAAATAAACTGAAATATGTGACAAACCGTGCATTGAGTTTTGAAGAAAAAGCAAGCAGGATGGAAGAACTTCTGAAGGAAAAAGAGAAAAATGTCAAGGTAAATGAACCCCAAACTATGTTTTTCCCCCAACAGCATTTAAAAAGTGTGCTGCTCGACCAAAGTATAGCTGTAGTGGATCACATTTAAATCTTTCACTTGATTTCTGATTTTTGAAAAAACATTTCATAACTAAAACTAGTGAGTTTTAGCAGAGGTATTGTGTCTTGAATGCATTGCACTAGTGTTTTGAAAAAAGACTATTTGTAGAAATATGCCATTAAGGTGTGTTGAGGAAAACACGTAAGAGATTTTGAGGTGGCAGACTGCCAACATGCTAGTGTATATTATGCTGACTACATTGGGGAGAATACATGGTGTGAGGGGAGAAGGGCAGTATTTCTAAGATGGAGAAACTCACAATACTCATAGGTGACCGTAATCCTGATATCACACAAGTAATCACGGAGAAGATGAACAAAGGTTCTTTTTTATTAATTACTATTTGAACATTTTTTCTTATATTTTCTAAACTCACAGAACTAAAATAGTGACTCTTTTTCTCCCAAAGGAGAAAATAGCAACTGTCCTTACTAAGTGTGAAAGAGAAAAAAAAATCTATTTGGATGTCAAGTGTTAACATTCTGCATGACGTGGTTCCATCCAAACCAATTCAAGGCTCTCCATTTCTCACAGTAAATGCAGAGAGGACAGGGCACAGGCACTTCTGTTGGCAGGCCGTTGGTGTCCCACCCAGAGGCTGAGGAGCAGACTAGCGTAAATCTGGAGGCCACCAAGGGCATGAATATACAGGAGCCTGAACCATTACTGGGGGCAGGAGCTGTGAAGTCCCCAGCAAAGGATCCAGGACACAAATTGAATTCCTGTCCCTGTTTGTGACCTTGAAACCCTGGAGGTGGGTGGACAGATGGGCAGGCGACCTCTAGGTGAAAACTCCTGGGTATATCCCTGGCGAATGAGGGATATAAAAGGAGCCTTACAAGGACAAACCCACCACAAGGGAAAACCTGGAAGGAACAGTCCTGCCAGATGGAAGAACATCCAGAACCCCATCAAACCCCAAGGGTCAGTCCTGGACCCAGTGTTCTTCAATATTTTTTATTAATGACTTGGATGAGGAAGTTCGGGGAATGCTTATCAAATTTGCAGATGATACCAAATTGGGCAGAATAGCTAATACCCTGGAAGACAGAAACAAAATTCAAAATGAACTTGATAGGATGGAGCACTGGGCCAAAAGCAACAGAATGAAATTCAAAAGGGATAAATGCAAAGCCCTGCATCTTGGAAAAAGAAACCAATTGCACCGTTGCAAGATGGGGGATACCTGGATCAGCAAAACTACAAGCAAGAAGGATCTTGGAATTGTTGTAGATCACAAGCTAAATATGAGCCAACAGTGTGATATGGCTACAAAAAAGGCAAATGCTATTTTAGGCTGCATTAATAGAAGTATAATTTTCAAATCCTGCGAGGTGCTAGTCCCCCTCTATTCAGCACTGGTTAGGCCTCACTTTGAATATTGTGTCCACTTCTGGACACCACATTTCAAGAAGGATGCTAACAAATTGGAACAAGTTCGGAGGAGGGCAACAAGGATGATTAGAGGATTGGAAACCAAGCCTTATGGGGAAAGGCTGAATGAATTGGACATGTTTAGTCTTGAGAAAAGAAAACTGAGGGGTGATATGATAGCACTTTTCAAATATTTGAAAGGTTGTCATACAGAGGAGGGGCAGGATCTGTTCTTGATCATCCCAGAGTGCAGGACACGCAAAAGTGGGCTGAAGTTAAAGGAAGCCAGATTTTGGTTGAATATCAGGAAAAACTTTGTAACTGGTAGAGCAATATGACAGTGGAACCAGTTACCTTAGGAGTTGATGAAAACCCTCAAAGGGGCAGAAGGAGACACCCAAGAAGAAGAGGATTGGGGAGATACTCCAGAGGATTTCTTGGGATCTTTGGGTCAAGGACTCTCCGGAAGAAGTCCTTGAACTGCCCTGGGAGTGGGACTATATTTATACAGAGGAAGAAGAGGAGGAGCGCGAGAACCATTCTTTTGGGGAGAATCGGAGAAAAGAGCTCAGAGGAAGCAAGCTGACTGAAAGCTAAGTGAACTCACCACCACTCTAGTCTTATACAGGTGGAGAAAACACCAACAAGAGTGTCAGCACCAGTAGGAGAAGGAGGTGAAGGAGAAAACCAGCCTGGGGCCCTCCCAAAGAGAAGTACCACATGACTGCCCTCCTTGTGGGCATATTGACCTTCATTGTCAGGGGCCATACCTCCACCAAGCCCTTTTGAATAAGAGCCTCTGCTCCTACATTTACCTCACTGAAGATACCTGGGACCAGTAGAGACATCAGTGAAGAGAACCAAGGAATCCCAGGCTGTACTTGTCAGTCCTATCCCAGTGAAGGCAACTGGGTGGCCCCCAACAGCATTTAAAAAAGTCCTATCCCAGTGAAGGCAACTGGGTGGAAGGAAAAAATAAATGTTGTACATTAATCTCTCCCTCCCTAGATGTTCTTGGACTACAACTCCCAGAAATCCTGACCAGCACACTAGTTCTGAAGGCTTCTGGGAGTTTTAGTCCAAAAATATCTGAGGACCCAAGGTTGGGAACCACCAGCAAGTATAAGAGTTCCGCAGTGCAGCGGTAATAAAGTTTAACTGATATGAACTGTTCCTAAACCATGTCTATAATATGTTACTTAGAAGTTTGCTTTCTGTCAACATTAGCCACATGTGTGTATTTGCTACATCTGCTAATTCTCTGAAAAGATTCAGACAAGGAATAATGCTTTCAAAATCCCATTTTTTCCATTTACGCTTCCTAAGTGGCTGCTTCCCTTCAATATCTATAAGAGAACTGTGAGTTTCAGGGGGTGAATCTAATTTAACAATGTATACTGCAGAATCTCCTTGAACAATTATAGTGACTTTATTAAGATATTAATAAATTAGAAGGAATTCAATAAGATCCCATTTCCATCAAAATGAATTATATACGCTTCAGAAGATCATGGTAACTATTAACTGTCTTTTACACATAGGTGGAGGGAAAAACAACTTACTCACAGTGCCCAGATAATGAATCTAAAAGTTGTTAAATTTAAAAATCACATTCCTCTTTAGTGAACCTATTTCCCAGTACCTCCATTATGTGCTTTTAATGTTGACAGGAGAAAGATACGGAGGCAATACAACTGAGAGACATTCATTTCAAGAAAACAAAAGAATTAAAAGAACTCAAGGATAAAGAGAAGTGTGTCACAGCTGAAATTGATGGACGCCGAGGACAAATGAAAAACTTATACAGCCGACTACACCGAATGGATGCAGAGACACTTAAGCAGCAAGAACTCATATATAACCAGGCAAGGAAGAAGGGTGTTTTGGGTGGGGGAGGTGTATATAGTTCTGATTTCATTTGACTCTGCATCTAACGAAGATGCAGGCAGTCTCTCTCTCTCTCTCTCTCTCCCCCCCCTCCACATACGCACACACACACACACAAAAACACATACATGAGTAACTGGCCAAAGAGAGAACTGCTTAAAATTATATTTGTGTGAATTAAGCAGTTCATCTTCTGCCTGCATTAAGAACACAACCAGCTTTCAGACCGTCTACTGCAAATAATTTTTTCCCCTTACTATTTGAGAAGAGGACAGAGTACTGTGTAAGCAGACAAGAGGTCTTCAGCATATGAATTAAAAACAGCATATGAATTAAAAACAGGCAAAAATGTAAGAATTAGAGAAGGCCATGAGATGAACAGTTTTAAAATCCCATTATCTCCGCTAATCCCAAACCTTTAGATACAACAGATGTCCCCCTTCTTTGAATTCTGTCCTTTCTTAGTATGTGAAAGCCGGACTGTGTTACTGACTGAAGGCAGAAGTCAAACATCATCTAAGTGATGATAGGCTATATTTTTAGATTTATTCTGATTAAAGGCTGTCTTTTTCATGGTAAGTCATTTGACTCCAATATAGTGTTATTTATAAGAGAATTCTGTAATTCTATCTCTCTTTAAGTATACAGGTAATATCTGAAATTATCAAAAATATGAAAACTACGGTATTATATGTATTTCATTAGAGATCAGAATTAACAGTTATTGTTCTACCCTTTCAGTTATGCAGTTACTTTACCTGAAAGTAAATAACCTTGGTGTCAGTGGAGCCCATTCCTTAAAAAAAAGCGGGGGAGGGGGAAATCAGTTGACTTGGAAGTGAGTTCTATTTACATCCCAGTAAATATGTTTTGACTTGGATCATATGTCCCCCAAATCAGCTTTTTGCTATGACTTCTCAGAACCATGGCTGCTTCAGGGTAAATTTTTGAAGCAATACAAGAGATGAACATGGCCAAATCCTGTTATTTGTTAATGGGATTTATATGCATAACTCCTATGCACCACTTTGAAAATTTACCCCTTTCTGTCAGCATCCACTGGCAGTGGTAAGATTGCTACCACAGCTGTAAGCCTCCCTAGAGCAGACTATCTAGGCTAGAGATGCTTTGTTATATTTTTAGAAGATTACTTGTGAGCCAGCATCACACACCAGCCATTTTAAGACAGTTTACAAATGAGAAGGCCTATAGGCCAGAAACAATTGTAAAATAACAATAATTTAATTAAATGCCTGTCCTGAAGCTAATTCTTTGTGTTAATATTTTAGCACTTACAGAAATGTCTCTAATTGTTTGTTTTTCAGCCTCTCTGTTAATTTTATTTCTTGCTTTAAAATATTTTTAACAGGATTTTTATATACAGCAAGTGGAGAGAAGGTTGTCACGCTTGCAGGGAGAGCTTAACACAGATGAGAGACAAGTTTTAGAAGCGAAAATTGCTGAACTTATAAAGATAGCAGATGAAAAGAGACAGGCATACGATACTTTGCAAACACAGCAGAAGAAACTTCAGGTAACATGACTTACTCATGTGGGTTTTGGGGCACCTAGAGCTGTTTTTCATTGAGACCATAGGGAGTAGACCAATTGAATTATGTCTTCAATCACAAGCATGTCCAATCTTGGCCAATAATTACTTGGAAACACCAGAGATAAAATTCAAGTCTCCTTGGAAGAAGGAAGCGGTAAAGATGCAATATAAAATAAATAAAAGTGAGAGGTGATTGTAGTTAGACATAATGTCAGCTATGCTCCTTTCCCTAGCTGTCCTGGGTTAGATTGCACAGCAATATTCATGATGACATTAAATACATTTTTCCTTTTCTTTTCAGAGTGACATCCATTTTATCAAATTGGCTATGAATAAAACAGGAGAAGAAATGGCTAGTTTGAGTACTAGAGTAGATGAGCTAAACCTTTTCACTGACAAATCAGAGAAGTTATTGAAAAAAGCCAGAGCAGATAAGCAGGTATTTATTTATTTATTTGTTTGTTTGTTTGTTTGTTTGTTTGTTTATTAAACAAGGGGAAAAATTGCTGCCTTGCATGAGCACTTGGATGGTTTGCATTGTCAGACTTGGCACTGTGTCAGGATTCTGAGCTTTCTTCAGAACTCAAATTATTCAATGCAAAGTTATGTTTTGTAAGGTACAGCATTTAACATTTTTCTTCTTCTGCCATAAAAGGATTTAATGATTGAAGACAATCTCCTGAAGCTGGAACTGAAACGTGTAAGAGATACGCTGTACAGTAAGGCAGAGAAAGTCCTTTCACTCGAAAAACAGAAGCAACAATTAAAAGCAGCAATGGAGGAGAGAATGGCAGATATCAAAGTTCACAAGGCAATGATTGAGACACAGATAAGAATAATAGAGCAAGAGCGTCAGACTTTAAGGTATTTATTTCCCCATATACTGACTGAAGGTGGGAGTGGACTTCCATTTCCAAGAAAGAAGCTAAGATTGAAAAAGATGGTTGTCGTTATAGGATCCTACCTGCTGTACCTCACTTGGCTGGCGTGTTTGCAAAAGAGGCATTTTCTTAGATTTCATGGAAGAATTCCTTGCAGCCCAGACTGCTTTGTGGTACTCAGCTCACCTTCCTTTCTGCCAGCAATTTTAGGTTTATTTTTTTCAGTATTCTACCAAAAACGCAGGAGCCTGTGGTTCTCGTACAGAGTCCCAAGGCACAGGTGAATGATACATTAGACCACAATAAAACACCAACATAAACTAGTTTTTGACACTGTACATGCCTTCATCAGACTGGGAAACACAGAGCTGTGGGTGGCACAGAAAAAAAACTTCATGCAAGTCTCCTTGTTTAAAGCAAGTTTCAGGATGTGGGCTACAGACTCTAATTAGTAATGTAGGTTTCAGAATCTACCTTTGGTGGTATTGACTGAAATATCTCTTCTGGTCTTGTTAAACAATGGGTCTTTCAGTATCCTGGGATTCCTTATAAACCAGAACTGTGTATTGTTCCATCTGTTTATCCATTGCATGTTTATCCCACCCTCTCTCATCTGATCTTCATAACTGCTGCTTTGCTTAAGGTGAGAAAGAATAATTGGCTCAAGATTGTGTAAATAAAGCTTAATGGCTGACCTGGAATTTGAGCTTGCATCTCCTTTCAACCAGCTTTGCTTTACTAGTGTACTTGTAGAATTTTCCTAATTGACTGCTAGGAATTGTTTTATCTTGCTTCTTCTAAATGAATGATGGAAACCTCCCTATACAGAAGCACAAAAGAAGTAAACACTTGTTTTTCAAGCGGAGTTTTGCCATCATGGCAAAACTCTGCTTGAAAAATAAGTGTTTATTTCTTTCAGAAATTCTCTTTTTTGCATAGCAGATATACAGTAGATCCAAGAGATGGTAGTAAATTACAAATGCCAGGACAGGAATTGCAAAGGGCTGTTTTCTGTAACTGGGAAGAAAGGATCTTTGTTCAGTGGGTGGTTAAACCCAACTGGGAAATGAACACTCAACCAACTGATTTGGCAGTCTTTTCTTTCCACCTCCCTCTTCCATCCACAGCCCACGCAACAGGAAATTAGAGTGATTTAGCATGACTGGAGCTTAACCCCTCGCCAAGTAGGCAGGCTCTGTGTTTTTCCTTTGATAATTACATGACTAATTGGCACTTGCATATAATTTGATTTGGGGTTGTTTCCTGCTGTTGCTTATTCTTTTCTAGCAGTGGCAATATTAAGATACAATCAGCAGGGGGCAGCTTTTGCAGCTGTAAAATTGAAATACCAAACCTTTAAATATTTGGGTAAGGTGCCTTGGACAGCTGCTCCCTGTGATGTCGGGACTTGCAATGTGCTTTTTTGCCTTTCTTTTCTTCTGTGTCAGACTTGCGAGGCCTTAGGAACTGAGAGGACTGGATGCCAATGTTATAATAAATGGATATAAATTTGGCTGTCACTGGCAAAAGTAGAGATGGCAACCAGTCCCTCTGCTGCAGACATCCACAGAATTTTTTATTGGCAGCAATAGCTCTCCTCAGGAGTGCATCCATATGTACAGTTTTTAATAAGTGTTCTTTACTGAAAATTGTATGAGAAGGCTTTGCAGATTGTGCCTTATCCCATAGCTCTTGTGTTGTTCTGTAAACCTATCTGCGCTTGACAATCATGGGAAAATCCAAGAAAAACTAAGTAGTCAGGCAAGCATCTCATAAGTCTGCAGAATGTGTAATGTTTCTTGTAGGGCCAGAGAGAAGACAGTCTGTGTGAAGTGTAAAGCAACAACAGCTGATACCCACTGACACTGGTAGAATGGTAGGAGAGGTCAGCCGAAATGGAACCAGCAACACCTAATGTGTTACCTAGTCACTTCACTCGCAAGTCTCAGGCAGACCTTGTATTACCACCACTTCCAGCCTGCTGATCAGGAGGCATGTTGAGATGCAAGTCTCAGGCAGACCTTATACACCACTCCCAGCCTGCTGATCAGGAGGCATGTTGAGAGTTAGGTGAGCAATCCTCCCTCTGCCCAAAGAGTAGAATGCTGTGATGTACAAGCTTTCGCTACTAACCTTGAGCATTCGCCATCATCTCCGGGATACCCAGACATAATAGATTGGAAAGAGGTACTCTTAACATCCTGACATATTCCACCCATTCGCCCCATTATGGAAGATAGTGTCAGGTCTCCATCCAGGTATACCTTACTAGCAAAGTCATCTCACACTTGGCGCACCATAAAGCTATGTTCTGACAAATACTGTATCTTAAATTTGTTTTTCAATTTTGTCTCTCAAATCAGTGCTGAGTTCCATGAGCGACTGAGTAAAATTGAGAAACTGAAGAGCAGATACGAAATTATTACCATCGTCATGATGCCCCCAGAAGGAGAGGAAGAGAAAACTCAAACTTACTATGTCATCAAGGTAATTTGTGTTCTCAGATGTTGATAGCTATTGCAGAATTGTGTTCCTTTTTAAAAGATCTCAATTATCTTAAATCATGTTTTATGACCAGTTGCCCTGCTTCTGTCCACTGCTGACCAAAGTTTATCACCTTGTTTTTCTGCAACGTCAGTGTCTTCTATATTACTTGTGGTTCTGAGTTTTTCAGAGGAGCTGGGCCGCTTTATCATGCACTCATGATTTTGAATTATCACTGCTCTTTTATAATTATCATCTCCAATAGGTACTCTTTGGTAGTCACTATGATGTCTGCTTTTAAATGAACATTCTTTGCATTTTTCCACACAGTTTCTAAGGCCCATGTCTTTGACTTGAGGAAATAAATACACATACGCCCAAACTAATTTTTTTTTAAAAAAAAAACCTTCTAAGCTGGATGGCTTGCAAAATTAATAACTCTTCCTGCCCCTCCTATACCATTAAGATTCTTTAGCTTTCTATGTCCCTCCCTTTTGCTTCCTCACTCAGACATCACGTACATTCTGGTAAGTTCTTTTCCAGAAGAATGCTGTGCTACTTAAAATGGATTATTTATTTACCCAAGAGCTCTCAAATGGCTTTTAGGGGAACACACAAACTGTGTAAAACAATAGAGTAACAAATGTAATAAGAATAATCATGTGCTGCCAAGTCAATTCTGACTTATGGCGGCCATTTTCAGGGTTTCCTAGGTAGAGAATTCCTGCCAACCTATCCGTTTGAAAGCATATAAAAATGTGAGTAGATAAATAGGTACCACCACGGTGGGAAGGTAATGGCATTCCATGTCTAGTTGCACTGGCCACATGACCACGGAAACTGTATATCGGCAAACACTGCCTCTATGGCTTGGAGACGGGGATGAGCATTGCGCCCTAGAGTCGGACACAACTGGACTAAATGTCAAGGGGAATCATTACCTTTCAGATTAGGCATCCTTCAGTCTCGAGAAACTATGGTAATGTGCTCTACATGGAGGACTTGGAACAGCGTCTAGTGTGGCTGAGAAGGCCAATTCGAGAGTGACAATCCCTTCCACATTGAGGACAAATACAATCCGTACCCCATCTAGCTCCCTGATTTTGCTGCTTTCGTGACTGCCTCTTTGCCTCGGCCTTACCTTTACTAGGTAGAAAATACTCAGAAGTGGTTTATTCTTCACTTCTTCTCTGGGCATCCTGAGACTGGGCAACTTGCCCAAGGCCACGCAGGCTGATTCCTCTGGGATGCGTAGTGGGGAACTGAACCTCCAACCTCTAGTGCTGCAGCCAGATACCTAACTCACTGAGCTATCCAGGCAACTAACAAATAAAAGTAAATACATTGTTGAAAGGGAGAATAGTATTTGAGGAGATCCAAATAGTGTTGTTGCAGAACCCCCACAGAGCTGAGCCTGCACTGTAAGCATCCTGCAGCATTCATATCCGAAGAATTGTAAACATGGTCCCCAAATTTCAGCCCTTTCCTATATATCAGTTTTATTTTTATCAAAAAAAAATGTCTTAGACAAAAAGCTGTGGAAATGTAGTCTTCTATTTGAAGGGAGCATTGGAATTCTTATCTGAAATGTTAAATCATAATACTAAGTGCAGTGTGAAGCCTTGTTAATATGCATTGGAATAAAAAGAAGTCACATGAGGATGAAAAATGGCTGTAACTTAAATTTTTGGTGTCATTTTTGGAAGCTGAATTCCATTTTGTTGTTCTTTCAAGACTGCCCAGGAAAAGGAGGATCTTCAGCGTGAAGGGGATACTTTGGATGCCAAGATCCAGCTAGCAGAGAAAGAATGTGTTGCTCTTGAGAATACTCTGCATATAGTTAATAGCTGCAACAGCAACTATCGAGACTCCTTCAGAAAGGTCACAGAGAAAAGTAAGCCTGTTGTAGTTGGGTGTGTGTGAATAAGTAGTTTGGGGCTGTTACTGGTATGCTCTCACACATGCATGAACTCACATGGGTTGTGATATATCTCTGTAAGGAATCTTTAAACATTGGCAAGAGTGTCCTAACAGACTGGGCTGACTCATGTCATCAGTGAAAAACAATGAATTAGACCACCCAATCCCAGAACTTTTCCCATATTATTTGTGAATATGGGCACACCTTTCATCTCTTTGATTGTCTTGAATCTGGAAAGCAGTACAACTCTAGCTGGAGCAGTATAAAGAAAAGGAAATTCTTGGGCAGATATTCCAAGGGAGTACAGAGTAGTAAAGGTTCTAGGCTAGTACTGGAAATGTAAGAAACATAATAAACTAAAAGAATTCTCTAGCTCAAACGTTCTGGGGACTGACAGGTAATTCAGCTAGGCTTCACTCCAACGTACCCTCTCTTTTGTGCGGCTTCACCCCTGCGTGCACGACTCCAACCCTCCCGCGTACTAGGTTCCGTTACGAGTGGAACCCATAGTGTGAATGTTGCATGGAGGAGGAAGACAGTCACGTGGAGGGAAGCATAGTCGTGCACTCGTTAACATCCAGCCTAGCAGGAACCTTGCTTCAGACCTTTCATAAAGTCGGCTCATGAGAAGCTAGCCTTGGCTCCCAGAGGAGCTTTGCCTGATCCCCCCCCCCCCCGTTGACATTACAGAGGCATTTGAAGACATGGCTCTTAAGGGAGGCTTTCCACTCTGAACTTAGCTAAGTTGAGATGATGGTAAAACTCTGTCTAGTTACTGTTTTTGGTATTTTTATTTTCATTTTAAGTTTTGTTTCATTTGCTCAGACAGATTCTGTTTTTACATGCTTAGATTTTTACATGGCTTTGTTTGTATTATTCCATTTTGATCATTGTAATGAAAACTGCTCAGAGTAATACTGCGGCACTAATGGGAGCAGTATATCAATTAAAGTAAACATACATACAGGCGTACTGTACCTCAGTTTAAAAAATTAATGCATTCTCTGGGACGTTTCATAATGCAAAAAATTTGCAAACTGAAATGCAGTTTCCCATAGGAATGCATGCATGGGGGTGGCACTATAAACCTCCCAGGCACAATGTAAACTTGCTTCGTATTGCGGAAAAAAATGGTAAACCAAGGCATTATTTTCAATTGATTTTTGTTCGTAAACCGAAAATTACATTAAACGAGGCATTCGTAAACCGAGGTACCACTGTACATGCATACATATATGCATACATGCATGCATATGGTGTATTTCAGGAGTGTGAGACAGGCAGATTTGGGCAGAATTTGAGGCACTATGTAGGCCACACCAGAATGAAAAATGCAGCAATTTTGGGGAGGTGTTATTTCTGTTTTGATACATATAACAAAAATAAAACAACAACAAAGTATTGTGGCCTGTTAAAGCTTAATAGATTTGTTGTAGCGTAAACTTCTGTGAATTATAATCTAATATTTAGCCTCAGGCAAATTTAGAAGGATTCGGTGTGGAATGTAGGTCCATGAATATAAACACAGCTAAAGAAATTTCAAAACTTTGAGAATGTGGATTATGTAGACATCCTGCCATACCTAGAGTAGTTCACTGTCTGGCCGAGGCTGTCCTTGAGGACCAAAAGGATTGAACCAGGAAATGGCTAATATTTAACTGCATGAACTTCCAATTCCATGGCCAGAATCAATACCTTTGTCTGTACAAGCTAGTGAAGAAAACTGCTTATTAATATACAGTGAGTGAAGAATATTGGACCTTTATTTAAACATTGTGATACGCTCTGTAATCTCTGGATAAAGCCACTTCAGCCAGTTCCCTCTCCAGCCTTCTTCATAATTTCTTTTTTCTACAAGTTACCTTCAGATCAGTAGAGTATCTTCGGGGGACCAAGGCATTTTGGCTTTTGTGTGTTACCTTCTCTAATGTCAGATTTGTATCCATTAATTCTCTTGTGTAAAGATGATTCCGTTTGTCCTACGTAGAATGCAGAGCTGCTGCTGGCAAAAGATGGCACAAATGACATTGTCAGAGGAACTAATAAATGTGACCCCGATGATGTAGCTGACATTGCTGGAGTCTGTAACGCTGCCTGAGTAAATGGGAGAGGAGCAGATAGCAGTTAGACTTGTGGCTTCGTTGTTGTTGAATGGAGAAGGCAGAGACTAATGGGGGTGAGACTGGAAAGAGCAAGGAATGACAAAGATTATTCACCTGCAATATTGTATTACCAGTCCTCTGCCAGAGCTGTCAAAATAGGGTACAGAAAATGTTTTTAAAAAGCAACCCAACTTGATGACACTGAATGGCCAAAATCCAGATGTGTAAAGTTATGCCATGAAAGGCTGCTGATGTCATCATGTACGGCCTTTTATAGTCAATTGAAGATTTCTAATCCCCCTCACCCAAGGGTCTGAGGCTCCTTGGGGATCCCTTTCATCCTACGGAGCCTTTGGGGGGGGCGAGATTTTTTGGTCTGAATATCAGAGACTGGCAATTTTTCAGCATTAAAAGCACACACACAACATCCAAAGGCTCCAGAAGGTTTCCCCAGAATGAAGGGGATCCCTAAGGAGCCTTAGAATTAGGTGGTAGTGGAAACTTTTCATTAGCAATAAAAGGGCGCAGCAGATGATGTCATCAGTCTTGTGTGATGTCAACTTTACCCAGTTGGATTTCGGCCAGTGTCTGTTCAGGAAGGGCGTAATGACTTGGCAGCTGGAACTCCACATGGAGGTTACATTTGGCAACACAGTCCTTTCTACTGGATTTGGAAGTATCACATTCTCTTTGTAAAGCAGTTACATCATAAGAATAAAAACATAAACAATACTATTTATAGAGGAAGAGAATTATATTGTTTATACTGTGGCTACAATACTAGAGTTCTTGGTGTACTGGATTAAAATCTTACCCATTAATTTGTACCTTAATATTAAAACATGATTTCAGTGTAGCTCAGGAGGGAGTATTTGTTAACTTTTGCTCCCTCTGCTGGCTCTATTATTATTATTTTAATTAAACCATCTTAAATCAAGATTCTTGAAAAGTTGGACAAATCAGGCAATTTAAAATAAGAAAGATACATTCTGAAAAGAGGGTATTTGAAAAAGGCTTTGGGCTCCAAGGACATCATCATAATAACCCTACATTACAGGTAAGCACTGGCTCATGTTACGCTGGCATAGGCACACAGACATTTGTTCAAGCCAACTCATGGCATCATATATTTTTCAGATTAACATACTGAATAATTCCAGTGTGTAGAGCTACCCATATCAGAAAGTGGTACAGCTGCTTTTAAATTCCATTTTGTCACACTGAAGTTATTCGTGCTGCCTCCGAATGTTTCCCAACTTCTTCTGTTTTGAGCTTTTAAATACTGTCTTTTTAATGGTGTAAGCCACCTTGAGTTCTTTCAGGATAACAAATATTTTAAATACAGTGGGGTCTCGACTTAAGAACTTAATACGTATTGGAAGGCAGTTCTCAGGTCGAAAAGTTCTTAAGTCGAATCTGCATTTCCTATAGGAATGCATTAAAAACCATTTAATCCGTATCTGCTCTTTTCATCCATAGAAACTAATGGGAAGCTGCTATTCCGACTTCTGCCACTAGAGGGGGATATTTTTTCTTTTTTCCTTTTAACCTAAGATGACTTAGCTTTTAAAAAAAGGAAAAAAAGAGTTCGTAACTCGAATCTAAGTTCGTAAGTCGAGTCCATATATTCCTATGAGAACGGTTCATAAGTCAAAATGTTCGTATGTCGAGCCATTCGTAAGTCGAGACCTCACTGTACATAAATAGGTCATAAGTATTTTTATAGGTGAAGAACATGAAGAGAAATTGAAACTGGAAGAAGAGAAAAGAGCTGCTGATGAGAAATACAGATACAAGAGAAGACAAATCAAGGAGCTCCAGGGAGACATCCAGGTAGAAAGATTTTTAGTTTGTTTAGTTTATTTGATTTATACCCCGCCTATTTGGCCCAATGGACCATTCTAGGTGGCTTTTTGGTTTTAGTTTGCTGTGGAGGCATGTCTGTAATCCTTATCCTGAATTAAACTTCACTTTTTCTCACGGTGAAGAAGCACCCCTGCTTTTCAGAATGTTAGCCTGATCTCCTTCGACAGCTATTCAAGATTTGATGAAGGCAGGGATGAAATGCAGAAAAAACCCCAATAAATTTAAAGTATCTTCCCCCTCATGTCATAAAAACTGAGTTCCATCCCATAGTAATGTGTTTTGACCTCAAGGCTTTTGTTTTCACATTGAAAATGAACAAGTGCGCATTACTAAGTGTAAAATGAATACAAACTGAAATGCATAGGATTATAAAACATTTATTTGACTATGTCATTTAGTAATTTGTCTCAGAGTGTATGATGGTATTCTACAAGTATCACCACATACTCCCAGATCTTTTCCCACCACTGGTTGTGGGTGGCAAAAGTGGAATTTGCTTTAACGTATTTTGTAGTTCAAAAAGGACACAGCAGTTCTCTCTCTCTCTCTCTCTCTCTCTCTCTCTCTCTCTCTGTGTGTGTGTGTGTGTGTGTGTGTGTGTGTGTGTGTGTGTGTATTTTGTCATACTTTGACTGAGTCAAAACGATAGCTGCAAAGACCTATGGAGTTATTATGGTAGGTGGAGCAGATGACAGATGTAGACTAAGATCCATCTTTGCATATAGATCTGCTGTGATCACCTTCCAGACAGCGCACACAAATGTAGGCATATTCGTTGTTGCATTTCTTTCCTAAAATGGCACTAATAAATAGTATAATCTTCTGAAGGAAAAAAAGCTGCCGTGAGCAATTTACCCTTATTAGGTGTACCAAAAAGAGTTTTATGCTCTTATCATCAGAGCCAGGGTTCAACAACTGGACACAACATACACTTTCTTCTTTATTCATAGGCTGTACATAGGGAGAAACCAGAGCATGAGGATGCCTGGATTTGTTTCTGCTCCTGTAACTGTTGCTTGGCTTTACTTAATACTTTCACTTTATAGGACTGGTAACACTCATTTTTCTGATCAACACCAGTACCGAAGTCTGTTTGAGAAGGCATTCAAGAAATCTTGCTTAGCACAATAAGTTGCACTAGAGTAGGCTAATTGAATCAGTGGGGATTTGGTGACTCAGTGCCTCTATAAACTCTATGGATTCAAATAGGCCTACATTAGTCACAATAGTAAATTGCAACTAGAGTGATTTAACCAGAGGTTGGGGAGTTATTCCTCGCTGTGGCTCCCTGACGGGGGCTGAACTCCGTGATCCACAGGGTCCCTTCCAGCTCTGCAGTTCTATGACGATTAAAGTCAAGGGAGAAGTTAGCTCACTAAATTCTCAGATGCAGTAGGCATACTCTAGTGCAATGTAACTATGCTAAGCAACAGGACTTCAAACGCTGTGTAGGAGTGTTGTTGAGCAAGACGTAAGAAACAAAGAGCACTTTTTGTGGCCTTACTCTAAAGCCTGACTGTACAAAGACTCATGTAGCACCTGGGGAAAATGTTACAACCCACCCTCATGGCTGCCCTGCAAAGCTGCGCCCGTGTCATGACTTAGCATTTCTATTACTATGTGCTTGAAAGCCATTGGACCAGACTTGTGTTAAGTGCTGGTGGCTAAAAGGAAAACAGAGCCAAGAACGGGGAGTGGGGAAGAGTGAAAGACACAGCTCTGTCCTGAGTGAAAGGAGACAAACTAGGTGGCACCTCAGAGTACTGTTAATATATATATCCTCATGTCAAAACTGGGAAACAAGGTTGGGTTTACTCCCACCTGTCCACTAGACCAGTGGTCCCCAACCTTTTTGCATCAATGAACAGGTTTAGTGTGCCAGTGGAGGTGGGGTGTCCATACGTGTGTGCATGGGAGGGGCCTTGCATGGAAGGGGCCGTGCTTGGGAGGGAGTATACATGTGTCTGCACGTGCAGGGGAGAGATTTGTCTCTGTGGCCCGGTCCTGGCAAGGCCATGAACCAGGACCAGTCCACAAACGAGGGTTGGGGACCCCTGCACTAGAGCACAGAAGAGAAACATAGATGTTAATGTATAGTTTGTATATCATAAAACAGTGTAGAGTACATATTTTGTACTTGTATCTATTTGGTCCTTGCAAACATGATAACATCAGATGATAGCAGGGCTAGGCAGGGCAATTCATATATACATTCAGACAGAACTAAATGGATATATTCTGCCTAATAAAATTTATAGTTTTTACTGTTTTAATTCTAGATTTTTGTTTGATTTGGCCCATCTATAAAGATATACCATAAAGAAAATTGAACAATCTTTTCCAACTCCTCCATCAGGCTTTGTTTCTTATGTTATAATCTGAATTCCAACTTCCAAAAGAGAGAACACACACTTTTAAAAAGCATATTTTTATGTATGTTTACTTTATTGTAGATATATTAAATAAAAAAAACTCAAAACAGGCTCATATATGAACTTTTTATTTCTTCAGTCTATGCAGAGTAATCTTGATATGCTTTTGAAAGACGAGGCTCTTTACAAAGAAAAAATAGCAGAGAAAAAAGCAATTGTCACACGGCTATCCAAAGAAGTCGATGAGCAGAAGCCAAAACTTGAAAGAGTCACAAAGCAGGTAAGTTAAATCAGTATCGGTCATAAACTTCCCTTTTGTTTAGAGTGCAGTGAAATAATAGAACTAAACATTAACATTGCCTTCTACTACTCAGATATACAGTGGTGCCTTGCATAACAAGCAGCCCGTTTAATGATGAATCCGCATAGTGATGCGGATTTTGCGATCGCATTGCGATGTTTCCTATGGGGGAAAATCCCTTTGCAATTTTTCCCCATAGGCCCCATTTTCCCCCAGCTGACCAGCGGGCGCTTCGGAAGGACCGTGGGGGAACCCTCCCCGTGCTCCCTCCGAAGCCTGCGCCGCCCAGCTGGGGAGAAGGCTTTGGAGCGACCGCGAGGGAGGGTTTCCCCCGCGGTCTCTCCAAAGCCTGCGCCACCCAGCTGGGGGAAAATGGCCACCCGCAGCGTTTTTGCGCCTCGCTTACCAAGGTGGCGAAAGTGGCGGCCGGATGGGGGATTCTTCACTTACCGGTGAGTTTTTCCCCAATAGGAACGCATTAAACGTTTCTATTAAACGTTCCGTTTCCCCAATAGGAACGCATTAAACCTATGGGTTCCCCCCTCCCCGCATAACGAAGAATCCGGATAGCGACGTTAGTCCTGGAACGGATTAACATCGCTATGCGGGGCACCACTGTATATTGTAAAGATACAATACCATGAAAACTAATTGTCACATTGGCATTTATGCTTTTAACTGTTTTGTTTCTCAAAAGGTTGCCCGACTAACCAGAGAAATCCGAGCACTGAAGAATACTCAGTCAGAAACACAAGAAGAACAAGATATTGACCTTCGTGCACTGAAAGACTTCAGCAGATCTGTAGATAAAATGCTACTCGATATTTCAGAAGCAAATCCAGATTTGAACACAGCCTTTCAGAGATACTTTGAACAGGTATGATTTCTGGTTGGCTTAACTATTTTGTTCATCATTTATTTTGAACACTTTCACATCTTTTGGTGATGGCACTTGGACTGCTTCTTTCCAACCTGGTCTTCTCCAAAAGTGTTGGATTACAAGTCCCATCATTCCTAGTCAGCATAGCCACAAGGTTAAGCTATGCTAAACCATCTTGTATGTTGTACAAAAAAGCTGTAATCATTCAACTTGTGCTCTCCACCTTTTCCCTTTGTTGTTGCCAAGAGTTCAAAGACCCATCTGTTTTAGTTTTATACTAAGTGTAATCATGATTCCCTGTTTAGCTGGGTGAATAGCTCAGTGGTTTTGGTACCTGGCTGCAGAACCAGAGGTTGAGAGTTCAATTCCCCACTGTACACCTGGGAGAACAACCAGCCTGTGTTGCTCTGGGCAAGCTACACAGTACCAGCGTACCCCCAGAAGGGAGTGGTAAACTACTTTTGAGTACTTTATACTGAGAAAGCCCAGGAAAAGTTCGCCATGTCAGAATCAACTGGAAGGCACACAATTTTTGTGGTTAGTGAACAACTAAACAACAACAACAAAAGTCTCATTACTTCTCTTTCCCGTTTAGGCTTCCATACAGCTTCCTTCTGCTTCATGTTCTCGGCTTAGTTTGCGATCATCTACCCACAGCTCATCATCTTCCAGCGTGTAAGTTCTACAACTATAAATAAAATTTAATTTTTCCTGCTCAATTATACAACTTTGCCTTAAGTAGCACAAGCCGTCTTCAGAATGACAGTGTAAAAGAAATAGAAAAAGATTACCATTTGTTTGGGGAGCATGTCCTCCTGTCTTATTATTTTAATAATGATCTCATTTGTATCTGAAATGCACTGGGCCAAATTTCAGAGTTCTTATCACAAGGTACGATCTCCCTGTCTAGGGACTCCAGGAAGTCCTTCCTGATGCTTCTGAATGTTGCCAAACCTTGTGCTTGATTATTTTGGATCATGAGGATCCATGTGAGGGTACAATTACATAGTGGGGAAAACATAAATGGATCTGCTGTGAAGTTGTATCCAGAATGTTAAGTTTCTCCAGGTTAATTTGCTTCAGCACACCACACAGCAAAGAGAAGGGAATAAATTGATTTTCAAAAGCTGAATATGCTGTTTGTGAGATAGCTCTGGTCTGGCTGTATGGATTTACAGGAGGCACATGACAGCAGAGCTATTTTAACAAGCTGCAAATAAGGCTGATTGATGACTTGAAAACTCTACCAATTCTTTGGTCACTCTCCTACCCGAGCACTACAGAAGCAAGTCTTTAAAAGAATATTGTAGCTGACTGACATGGCTTCAAATGTATACGTGACCCCTTCAGATCGGCTCAAGTGATCAGAACACCGGAAAAGATGTGAACACATTTGCTTCCAAAAAAGAGAAGCCCCAGTAGCAGAGGAAAAAACTATGACTCCTGGGGGAAAACCCGGGGCTGATTTGCATGGAAAATAATGCAAAGCCCACCATCCTAGTCCTAGAACATTTCCTGCATTATTTAGTGTAGCTTAGTCCAATCAGAAAATCAACAAAAGAAAAATCTTGAAGATTAGAAAAGAAAAAGTCAAGAAAGTGAGAAGTATTTCATAACAGGCTGTGGCCTATCAGATATTACAGGAGGATACCAACCTAGCAGAAGCTCTGTATCAACTTCTGTGGCTTGATAGTCAAAAAGACATTTTTTCCCAAGATGCTTTAAATGCATTATCTTTCTCCAGTACTTGAGACAATTCAGAAAGATCTTGTGGGGTGCTGAGGCAAAGAGAAGCTTGCTTAAAGCCATCCAGTAAGTTCATGGCAGAGATAAAATTTGTACCACAAACTTTCCAAATCATAGATTAGTCTCTTGGCTATTATATTAGTTATTAAAAGCTCTCACAATTAGGTCAATTTTTGAATGAAAAATCCCTTAATGAGTTTCTAATCCAAAAATGAGATGCAGGGCTTATCCACCAGTGTTCTGCAGAAGGCTCTTGTGAGCAGTTTGAAAAGAGAACCATTTTTTTTCCAGGTGGGCAGTTTGCTCCATGCATAGATTGTGCTGCATCTTTGAGTATTCATAAAGAGCTACCTACAGTTAGATTTAAATTATTTCCAAAATGACTATATCACCCTTTAACCATAAGGCCACAACTATGTCTTGCACAGTGAAGAAATTACTGTACAGGCTGAATCCAGTAGTATATCACATCTAACATAAGCCTATTGAATTAGTGGGGATTTAGTGAGTGAACACCTGTGTAAGTTCCATTGATTCAGTGGGGCTTCTCAGGTTGCAACTTGCTGCTGGATTTCAGCCCCCGATGCACAAATGTATACATGATATTCCAAAAATTGGTATTCTTTAGGTAAGTGTGATCACTACCTAGAATCTAGAAGACTAGAGAAAAGATTCCTCACATTTTGAAAAGGCAGGGAGTGGGATTTTGGTCAGATCGAGGTTCTCCTGTCATTTGATAACACTTAGAACTGCTGTTATAACAGTGAGTTGGAGAATTTATAGTTGCTTTTTCCATAAAGCAGTGATTCTCCCAGGCTATTTTAATAAGAATGTATTTATTACAATGACTGTTGGCTTTCTTTTTTTTAGGTCGCCTAAGAGTTCAGCATCATCAGCCAATCAACCACGGCTTAAAGTTGTGTCTCTGACTTTGAGTCCCAGTTCTGAACCTGTGGATCTTGCTTTATCACGTCCTCCAAGCCAAAGTAGTGCCTCTGCATCTTCACATACCAGAAGCCCCAAGTAGCACTGCAGAGAATGTATCAGATTTTAGTCCTCACTTAGTAACAGTTATTCAGTAAACTGCAGTACCTGTATTTTCTCTGTAGCAAGTAGCTTGAAGTTCTTTAACTTAGGTGATGTTGAACATGTTCTGTTATTTGGTAAATTGAATAAATGCTTAAGAAAAATATCTTAAAACGAAAATGTGTGTTTATTTTCAATAGTACAATATAGAATGATGATAAAAACAGGCTTTAGGATTTTGCATTTTTTTATGTGTAGGCTCCACTAGGTTTGATTTTAATAAAAGTTTCTAAAAATAGTAGATTTAAAAAAAATCATCTCATATAACAAAATTTTATCTGTGTTTCAATAAGCAATTATGAGATTATCAAAACATCATGCTTTAAAAAAAGATAAAAACATTAAAACCCATTTTCAAGTACAGGCACTTCCTAACACACTATTTGTCTTTTTGAAGCTCTACACATTTCTTGCCTCTGCGATGTATGCTCATCCCCCTTGCCCTCCGGAAAAACATGGCAGGGCAAGGAGTAAAATATTAATTGCATGCATCTCTGAAAATTTTAGTGCTGCTCTTCCATGTAAACAACTGTTTTAATATAGTGAACCATTGCACATTTGTTACTTGTCCATCTTGAAACTTGCCAAGCCTAATTACTTTGAAACAGAAAACCATCCAGACAAATTTCAGCAAATTCTACTTCAAAAATTTTAAGGTTAGGAGCGGCTGTCTTTTGAAACATGAATGCCCCTCCCCGCACCAATCTGTCTGTGTTCTGGTAGCTGTAACCCCTTTCCTAAATCACAGAATCATAGAAAAGTGAAGTTGGAAGGGGCCTACAAGGCCATCAAGTCCAACCCCCTGCTTAAGGAAGGAATACAATCAAAGCATATCTGCCAAGTGATTATCTACATTTTGTTGGAGCACTCAACAATTCCCGAGGTAACTGGTTCCACTGTCGTACTGATGTAATGGTTAGGTGGTTTTTCCTGATATTCAACTGAAATCTGGCTTCCTTTAACTTGAGCCCATTGTTGCGTGTCCTGCACTCTTGGGATGATTCAGAACAGATTCTGCCCCTCTATATGACAACCTTTCAAATATTTGAAAAGTGCTATCATATCACCCCTCAGTCTTCTTTTCTCAAGGCTAAACATGCCCAATTGTTTCAGCCTTTCCTCATAAGGCCCCTGATCATCCTTGTCACCCTCCTCTGAACTTGTTCCAATTTGTTAGCATCCTTCTTGGACACAAAACTCAAGGTGAGGCCTAACCAGTGCTATATAGAGGGGGACTAGCACCTCACAGGATTTGGAAACTATACTACTATTAATGCAGCCTAAAATAGAATTACCCTTTTTTGAAGCCACATCACACTGTTGGCTCATATTTAGCTTGTGATCTACGACAATTCCAAGATCCTTCTCGCTCATAGTTTTGCTGAGCCAGGTATCCCCCATCTTGTAACTGGGCAATTGGTTTCTTTTTCTGAGGTGCAGTACTTTGCTCTTATCCCTGGTGAATTTCATTCTGTTGCTTTCGGTCCAGTGCTCCATCCTATCAAGGTCATTTTGAGTTTTGTTTCTGTCTTCTAGGACAGAGGTCCCCAACCTTGGGCCTCCAGATGTTCTTAGACTGCAACTCCCAGAAGCCTTCACCACCACCTCTGCTGGCCAGGATTTCTGGGAGTTGAAGTCCAAGAACATCTGGAGGCCCAATGTTGGGGACCACTGTTCTAGGGTATTAGCTATTCTGCCCAATTTGGCATCATCTGCAAAACTGACAAGCATTCCCTGCACTCCCTCATCCAAGTCATTAATAACAATATTGAAGTGCACCAGGCCCAGGACTGAGCCTTTGAGTACCCCACTTGTGACCTCCTCCCAGTCAGAAAAGGACCCATTAATCATCACCCTCTGCGTACAATTATGTAGCCAATTGTGTATCCACCTGACACTTGATATATTCAGCCCACACCTAGTTAGCCTGCTAATCAGGATATCATGGGGCACTTTGTCAAAAGCTTTGCCAAAGTTAAGATATACTACATCTACAGCATTCCCTCTGTCTATCAGGGATGACTGCCCTACAGCTGTATTTGAATATTCAGTGAAAGATACAAACTTCTGGTTTCCAAGTCTCAGTCAAAATAGAACTTTCCAATCAAGAAGCATTCCATTTCCAAAATTCTGAATCAGACTTGAAACCAAATCCTGAGGTCAGAGCATATTCCTGTTTCAAGCAATATCCTTCACTGAGCCAAGAACTTTTTTAAAAATCCACAAGCCTTCTGAATGGAGACCATTAAAAACAATGAAATAAGGCCGCTAGATGATGTACTGGCTTAAATGAAATGAAGGAAATTTATATATAAAAAAGTAATAGCCCAGATGTGGCACATTCATTAAAAGCAACTGAATTTATTATTATGTTAACAATACATGGTTATATTAACAATAAAAAGTAACAGTCATTGGTGCCTTGGAGATTTCTTCTGTAAAGTGCAATTTAGATGCCAGTTAGCACAAGTGGCTGTCTTAATAAGTTCTTTAGCCAATCACACTGTCACATCTTAATATCATAAACAGAACAAGAAACCCAGTTTCAAAGAAAGATAGGATATAACTCTTGCATATCCATCATTCCTTAAATCAAAATCAAACAGGCCTACTTAGAGGTAAGAACTTTTTTTAAAGAACACATACTTATTTAGTGATTAGAAGATGAACTAAATTCATACCTAGCACCTTCTTTATATTTCACTGGTTCTTCTGCTTATTTCCTTTTTCCCTCTCAAATTCAGCAATCTGGTTAAATATATTCAGCAAGTTCTGAGGCAGTTTTTTGCCAGCACTGCTTGACTGTCCTTTGCCATTGAGTGCCGTTTCCTCATCTAGTTCCTCGCCTTTCGTGGTCTCTCTTTCCCTGCTCATGGGTTCCTTTTCATTTTTAAGGCAAACCAACTCTGGCCTGCTTTCCGCATTGTACTTACTCGGCTCATTTATCCATCGGCTAGTGTATCGTTTGTAGTGTTCAATTGATTTGGTTGAGTAATCAGACCCTGTGGGGGATGTAGAATCCTTTGTTTGGTTTGGACTGTGCTTTCGGTAATGCTCTTTCCTTCCAAATTCTTTTTCTGATTTTCCAGAATTGTGCGTCTTGTTCCTGTCGTTGGCCTTCTTATGATAGGCACCTGTACTCTCTCTTCTATTGGAGGAAACTCTCTCTGACTTACCCTGTTTTTCTGTTTTGTAACAATTTGTATGAATCTTGGAGCTGGTATAGGAATCTCTCGAATCCTCAGACCTACCTCCATAGGGATCTTCATCAGCAGAAGTCTGTGACAGAAAATGTTCCTTTTCTCTCTCTCTGCTTCTTACCTCAGGCTTTTGATAACCTAACCTGTTATGCCTTTCCAGCAGTTTCTCCATTTCATGCTTTTGGTTAAGGAAGGAAGCAGAGGTATTGGCTGGAGGAGAGTAGCAATCATCTTTCCTATTATGATGAGAGGAACTCCGAGATGCATGTTTTTTAGAGTTGTGCGAGGATTCGGACCTGTTCCGATTCCTTTTCTTGCGCTTTTTGTTATTGGAGGAGGAGGAGGAGGAAGAGGAAGCAGACTCACTTGATGAAGAATCACAGGAAGAGGAGGAAGAAGAGGACGTTGACCTTTTCCTTTTCTTCTTCAACCTAAGTTTTAATGAACCATGAGGTATTACCAGTAACAAGTAAAATCAATCATTTTTGCAAGATTACACCTGTACTACAGAATACGTTTTGCTGCCATTTACTGTCTCCTCCTCCTACCATCTTGTCTCCCCTTCCAAAACACTGAAGATCAGCTGGCCACTATATTACAGTGGTGCCTCGCTTAATGACGATAATCCATTCCAGGAAAATCACCATTAAGCGTAAACATTGTAAAGCGAAATTTAAAACCCCATTGAAACGCATTGAAAACTGATCAATGCGTCCCAATGGGGTAGGAACTCACCGTCCAGTGAAGAGCCTCCATAAGGCGGCCATTTTGCTGCCTGTATAGTGAGGAATCCATCCCTAACCACAGCAGGGAGCCATTTTAAGCACCCGGTGGCCATTTTGAAAACCTGACAATCAGCTGTTTCTAATCGTCGTAAAGGGAGCATCGGTTCCCGAAGCAGGGAACCGATCATCGCTAAGTGAAATTCCCCCATTTAGACCATCGTTTTGCGATCGCAAAAAGATCATCATAAAGTGGATTCATCCTAATGTGGGGCAATCATAAAGCGGGGCACAACTGTATATGAATATGCCGGGGTGAGGCAGGAGAAGGGATGCCCAATGTCTGGGGCTGGCATGTATGGTCCCTGGACCTTCCAAAGTTGCATGCCTGATTGAAATAATAATCCTTTATAAGAAAAAATCTAATCTTTTTGAGTAGTGAACTCTGAGGTAGTATGTACACCGATGATACTTCAATGACAGGCAATCCTCCAAGGTCTGGAGGCTCTACAGACCCACTGGAGGACCATTCCTATGAGCCCCACCCCACAAATGTTTTCTTTTTAAAAAGGGGGTGTGTGTCACTGACTTCAATCCCCTGATGGCAAAAGTTTTTTAAAATGTATATTAATTTCTACAGGCCAGAGGGTGCTAGGGACCCTCCAAAGATGGCAGAACTGCACGCCCCCCGACCAACTAGAGAACACAAGGGATCTTCTGCTCTAGAACATTTTTTTCCAAAACACAAAGCATTTTCTGGGGTGTTGGAGACAAGGGACACAGGCTGTATGTAACCTATCACTGCACTATGTAAACACACAAAACATGCAAGTTGTACCACTATGTAACTCTTCTTACCCAGTTTCCCCTAAAATAAGACCTAACCTGAAAATAAGTCCTAGTAAGATTTTTCAAGATGCTCGTAATATAAGCCTTACCTCCAAAATAAACCCTAGTTAAGTGAACCCCCCCCCCTTCAGCATTGTGCAGCAACCAGATATGACTATAAAATAAAACATCCCCTGAAAATAAGCCCTAATGCCTTTTCGAGCAAAAATTAATATAAGACTCTGTCTTATTTTTGGAGAAATACGGTAGCATTCAAAATGTTGCTTCAGAACTAGGGCATAAAATGTCATGCTTTTTCTCTCTTGTTCCTAATAATAATAATAATAATAATAATAATAATAATAATAATAATAATAATAATAATAATAATAATAATAATAATAATAAACAATAACAATAACAATAATAATAATAATAATTTCAGCTTACAAGCTAAAAACCACCAAAAGAAAAACACTGAATGCATACTATACTTACGGTACCAGCTAGCTTTATCATATGTAAGTGATGCTCTATGGACGACTTAGGTTAGAAACAGCTGTAGAATTTAACAGCGGTTACCTTTTTTCTTCTTTTAAGAGCTTACGAAGTTTTTCTGCACTTGTTTCTATTTTCTTCTCTTTTTGTTTTTCTTCTTTCGCCGCTTGTTTCTCTCTCATTTCAAGAGATTTCTTTTTTGAACCCCAACATCAAAAATATTGCATTAACAAGCCACAATTGTTTATCCAAGGAGTTTCCCCACCCCCACCCACCAAACACACAGAGTTTACAGCAACCCCAAGGGTATCATATTCAGAAAAGAAAAAAAAATTCAAAGGCAAAATGATAACGTACAAATGGGAGCATTAACACGAACAGTTTATATTGCAGTTTATACCCATTATGTTAAAAGGAAATAGTAATAAAATAAAGTACCAAGAATGGCATTGGTACCCAGAACCCAATGAAATGATATTAGCAGTCCAGACAGCATGAAAGGAAAATTAAAAAAAGAAAACAACCACACAATTGGCCATATAGCGATTAACCAAACAGAGAAGAATCAAGGAAAGCATAGTTATTTGAATTTATGCATAAAATAGGATCCAAATTAAAATGCAATTGAAAGGGGCCATGTGCAAATACAAACCATTTGGCAATCATACCACAGCCCAGTTTGATGCATGGTTTACACACGTAATCAAATTCCAGTGGGTTGTTGGTGATGAGCAGCACCGGGGGTCAGATACAGCAGCAACAGTTCCAGTTCAGAAGAAAATGCATTGGAGAAAAACATATCATCAGTATTACGGGAAAACAACCTGTCAGCCTACAGTGTACCGCAAGGCAACTTTGTCTGAGCCTCTTGAGATCTTTTTTCTCCCTGTCTGAGGTGTCCTACCATGGAGAGAACTGCACACACAAAGAGGAAGTCTACTCAGATGCTTCCATTTACAGACTCTGTTCTGCTGACATGTTGCGTAAAAATGGGCTAGTAAAAATAGACATGGCATCCTGCTTCGCATGTGCTCTTTTGAATGGCAGAAACAAACCACACAGAGGGGAAAAGCCAAATACAAGCACATACAAAGTGAACCTCAATGTCTTTCAAACAAGCATGCTATAAACCTGTGATCTAGAAAACTAAGCCTACAAGGCAAGGACAAGACGGAGGTCTTGAGGGCGGGTGGCCCCCCCACTGGCGGGTTGGGAGACTCCCTCTCTTTTGGGGGGGTGTCTCTCACCACACGGAGTGAGGTCCGCAGCTTGGGGATACATCTGGACCCGGCGCTTACTATGGAAACCCAGGTGGCGTCCGTGGCCCACTCCACCTATTTTCATCTGTGGCGGATCGCCTAGCTGCGACCCTACCTTTATGGGGAGTCCCTCACTACTCTCGTCCACGCGCTCGTAATCTCGCGATTAGACCACTGCAATGCCCTCTAAGTGGGGCTACCTTTGAGATTGATGTGGAAGCTTCAGATGGTGCAGAACGTGGCAGCCAGACTTCTGAGAGGGGTGAGAAAACACCAGCATATCTCCCCCACTCTGGCTGCCTTACACTGGCTGCCTATTCGCTTCCGCATTGACTTTCAAAGTGTTAATGATGACGTATAAAGCCCTAAACGGTTTGGGACCTCAGTATTTGGCAGATCGCCTTCTCCCACCCAGATCTACCCGAATTACTCAGTATAGCCAGGAGGGTCGGTTGAGGGGCCTAACACCAAGAGAGGCCCGGAAAGAAAGAACAAGAAACTGGGCTTCCTCAGCAGTGGCCCCTTGACTATGAAATAGCATTCCATCAGAGATCCGCCTGGCTCCCTCGCTGGGTGTTTTTAAGAGCCATTTAAACACTTGGCTCTTCAGGCAGGCTTTCCCTCATGTCAATTCTTGAATTCTATCTTTTATGTTCTTTTACTCCCCATCTTGATCACGCTATATTAATGTTCAAATGTTTTTTGATTATGAATGTTGTTTATTTGATTGTGCGGTTTTTATTGTTATTTTATCATATTTTATGGTCTTGTAAGCCGCCCCGAGTAGACACTGTCTAGGGGGGCAGGGTATAAATCAAATAAATAAATAAATAAAATAAAGGATTGTCACAGACTAATTTGCTGAGGACCAGCAAGTTTACAGCTGCGCAATGAACCTGAATCTAGCTCTTCTAGGCCTTGGTTTAAGTATATTATCTGCTGTTGCATATATAAATGGCTAGCATTAGTGTCAAAGTAAAAGGCAAGCATTTTCTCTGTTTACAGTTGAGATCTTGAAATAATCCAATACACTTGTCTGTATCAGACTTGTTTCTCAAAAGACTGACACCATTGACTTTGAATAGATCTGTGAAGATTCTCAGTCATCCAGGTGAGGTTATCTAGAAGTTGAGTCATGGCAACTGGATTTCTTTCTTATTAAGTAGCTTCTTCAGTCTGAGGAGAGTTGGTAGGAGATCTCAATATATCCTCCACATTGGTTTCATGTCCCCCTGGTCTGAACAGGCTAGTTAGAAGGACAAAGGACTGGGGGTGAGGGATAATCCCACTTCTGCAGTTCTTCTCCACCCATTGTCATGGGTCATTAACAGTCGTTAACCCCCTCTCCACCTATTGTCAGGTGGAAAGGGGGTTACAACCCATGACAATGGGTGGAGAAGGACTGCAGAAGTGGGATTTTCATTCACCCCCTTCCAGTCCTTTGTCCATCTGACAAGCCTATTCCCACCAGGAAGAAATGAAGCCAACATGGAGGATATATCAGGGGTCTCCTACCAACTCTCCTTAGACTGAAGAAGCTAGTACTTGGATCAGTAGTGAAACATTTCAACCTAATAAAAAGAAGTCCAGTTCTCATGACTCAACTTCCAGACATTCACTTAGAAGTAAGTTCTACTGATTTCAGTGGGGCTTTATTTCCCAGTTAATGAGTGCTGAAAGTTCACCTAACTGCACCTTGTTCCTAACATAAGGAGGTTTCTAGAATCCATCTGATTCAAATGCTGCTAGTACACCAGAAGCAAATGTGTTTACAATTAAACTACTGGAGTGAGATTTCCTATCTATTGGCCATTACTATTTGTCAAAACACCCAGATAATCTGGTTTTCACAAGTGCAACAATATACCCCATAACTGGTGAGAAACAGTGATTACTAGAAAGAAAGAAAAACAGGATCAGCTAAGAGAAAGTAAAGAATCACCTGTATATGCTTACGAAGTTTCAACAAAGCATCCTCAGCTTCTTGAAATGTCTCATCAATGCTTAAAGCCTTCTTGTAGTAACTTTCAGCATTCAACAACTTATCTTCCTCTTCCAACCTAGCAAATGATTTTACACCATATGTTAACATTCATTCCACTACAGTTAACTTGAAAATATTCAGAGACTGCCTCATATTTAAGAAATGCTGAAATGCTCAAGAATACAAACTCAGTGCAAAGAGCAGTAAATTTGGATCACTAAACCAGGAATTCATCCCTAAGAAAAGCTTCAGAAATTGCCTGTTTCATCCCAAATACATTCACCAGGGCTCTGCACGAGACCCTATTACTGACTCGAAGCAAAGATCTCCATGCAAACACCATTAAGCACAAATGAGGATGTTCATGCAGTGGCAATTTAACTACAGAGCCACAAGTGTGACCTGTCAACTACAAATTGCTCAAGTACATCCAGTTTTCTTCAGAGGACCAAATCAGGAAAACAGATGATTCAGATAAATGTACTATCTAGCGTCTTCCAAAGGAATTTAAAAGCAAAAACTTTATGACAGAAATAAAGATGGACAAACCAGGAGAACAGGGGGCGGGGGGGGGAAACACTGGCATATACCAAGATATAACTGGCTGAGCATGTTTAACACCATAATTTATTTGCTTTATTTCAAATGAACAGCATGCAGCTTAAGGAAACATTGGCATATACCAAGATCTAAACTGGTTGAGCATGTTTAACACCATAATTATTTGCTTTCTTGAAGGACCACACAGACTTGCTTTCCTAGAAGTCTACATGAGAAAAACATGACGCCTGCCCAATGCCTCAACTTCAATTCTCATAGGTAGCAGCTATTTTTTTTATTGACAGAATCGTTACTATTTCTATCCCTCTTTGTTTTGCTTTTTTTTTTTAGCTCCTAGGTTGATACATGTGGGGCAGAACAGATAAGCACCTCAGAGGGTGACAGATTTAACACAGAATTCCAGTGGTTGCCTAGAGTAGTGGTGCCCAACCTTGGATAACCCAGTTGTTTTTGGACTGCAACTCCTAGAACCCCTGGCCAACACAGCTGGTTGTGAAGGCTTCTGCAAACTGCATTCCAATAACACCTGGGTGACCCAAAGTTGAGAACCACTGGATTAGAGGGTCAGCATGGATTTTATTTCAAATGAACAGCATGCAGCTTAATTTGAAAAAGTGCTACTGCCATCTTCATTTTCACCAGGACCACAGTGAGCAAGGGAGATTCAACCCTTCTCTCTCTAGCCGTGATTTCTACCAAAAACCATCAGTGGAAGAGTCTTTCCTATGAGACTAATTGCTATGGCAGAATAAGGGAGGCAAACTTTCCATCGCCATTCTGTCCGGGAGCTCAGATGTAAGTTTCTGCACCCACACAACACAGTAGTCCTGACGGAAAAGGCCAATTCTCCAATATCCTAAATTAAAACAACTCTCACAAAAAGGTATCATGTAATGGCAACATCCTGTTACCTCAGAAGCATTATGGACCAAAAAAAACACAAAAACCCAAACAAACAAAAACCACCACCCAGGAATAAGATTTATCATTGAAAATATTTTTAATCTGCCTTTCTCCTTAAAAAGGACCCAAGGCAGTGCTTATATGTGACTTACAAGTCTTTGAGGAAGAAAGGAAATTGTGGTGGAAGTGACATACAGGCACTTCAATGTCAAACTCTGCTTGCTGAATTGACTTCAACTACAACTTGAAGATAAAAGGTCCTCCTTAATAGTTAGCCGGCCACAAAAGGGCAACCAAGAAACTGTATTAGTGACGCATCTGGCAAAGTGAGTGAAGACAAAGAACATCAAGTAACACTTACTGGCCTCCTCGTTCAACAAGCGTTTGGCAAAGATATTTTCTAGCGTTTCTATGTGTTGGACAGTTTTCTAAAGCAACTTCGAAATCATCAATTGCTTTATTTAAGCTTCCTTTTGTTGCGTAACTAGAATAAGAACAAAAAACCTTGTTAAGTACAAACACCTACATTTCCTTATACGAAAGCACCGAAAATGTTGTTTCCTAGCCAAAAGCATGTAGACACTTACAGTGCCCCACGGGCTACTAAGGCTTCAACGTTCTGTGTGTCTATTTCCAAAGCCTTGTTGTATTCATTCATGGCATCCACATGGCGTCCCTCTTTGAAATAATCAACACCAATCTTCACACTAAAAAAAAAAGTGCCAGTAATATTAGGATGTCTACATGCAAACACGTAAATCAACAGCATGTCCATATTGATTTGTAGTCTCATAAAAACACTGTTAAGAACAAATTTAATGTAGAAAATTTAAATATGACACGTCCTGATGTAAAGGTTCTAATGTCCAGAATTCTTTAAAAATGAGAGGGTTCAAAAAGGAAATCACCATGTTACAGGAAGATACAAACAGGGAAGTCTTTCAGGGATTCATTCCCCCTTCCATCATTCCTTTGTTAAACAGAAGCAGCATTGAACACTTTTATTCATATGCAAGCAAACAATAAATATACCACAAGCACAGTTCATTCCGTTAATATGGCTGAATGGAAAACTAACATAGGAATGTTCAAGTGTCCCTTAAGCTTTAAAAAAATGTGGTTCCTTTAATATTTGTCTATTCACTCTATAAGCGCTCTTGCTTTATTTGTTACCAACTGACAAGAGGAATTCAGCACAACCATGGCTGATGTCAACTTCATGCATTAGCCCTCCAAGTTTCAGGCAGGGCATTTACTTATTCCAGTTGGTTGGAACAGAGTTCATGATGCATTTGCCTAGAAATATGATCACAAAAATGAAGCAGTGTGTATACCATTTTAAGGCCCATGAGGCAGATTGTCTTTTCCGCAATGAAACAGCAAAATCCTCTTCATTGAAATTTTTGCTGATGGGAGGAAAAAGAAACCAACATTTTAATATCAAGGAAGATGGTGTGATTGCAGAAGACCCGTACATCGGAAAGAACGAGATGCCAAGTGTTTAGACAACTATTACAGTGGAGCGCAGGGAACTCTTTCAACACTCATGCCCCAGAATGATGCATGAGTATTAGTTTGATTCAGTTGGTGAGTCACAACTAGAGTAGGCCCACTGAATCAATGGAACTTACGGAGAAGCTGACTCACTGAGTCAGTGGCCCTATTCTAGCTGAGATTTGATTTCAGACATAGAGAACTAGCACTACTATTTAAGGGGTTTAGAAAATGGCCTAAATTCAACTGGTAGTCCCAACAAGACTAAATCTACTGAATCAACTGTGGAATAGTGAGTCAACATGTACGTAAATTCCACTGATTCACTGTGTCTAATCAAGCTGAGTCCAACAATAAGCTTTAGGCCACTGTCCCCAGGTTTCAACAACAGTGCTGCCTCGCTTAAGGAGGATAATCCGTTCCAGCGAAATTGCTGTAGAGCAAAATCCTTGTTAAGCGAAATAAAAAATCCCACTGAAACGCACTGAAAACCCGTTCATTGCGTTCCAATGAGCTGAAAACTCGCCATCCAGCGATCCTCCATTTTCTGTGCCTGTATAGAGAGGAATCCGTCCAAAAACACAGCAGGGAGCCATTTTACACAGCAGGCTGCCATTTTGAAGCCGCCAATCAGCTGTTTTAAGATCATTGTTTAGCGAAAAATCGGTTAAGCGATTTTTGCCTATTAAAACATTGTTTTGTGATCACAAAACCAATAGCAAAACAGCCATCGTATAGCGGTTTCGTCGTTTAACGAAACAATTGTTAAGCGAGGCACCACTGTACTCGTCATGTACAGTATCCTTGGTTTATCCTTTTTTGTACACAAAAACTAGCAGCAACAAAGATTGTCTCAACAAATCTATTGCATGCTGCCACTGGAATAATCATTTTGGCCCAGCCAATGTAATGTTTTGGGCCAAAAACAGTTTGGTGCTGGGTTGTTTTTTTCTAAACCGTAACTCCAGAAAGCAGAAATGACATGCTTTCCTTGGTAGACTGATCTAATTCAAGTAAGTTAGCTCTCATGAGAGGAGACTGCTGAATTCTCCATGGACTGAGGAAATACAAAAAATATGCATTAAACCGTCCCCCAAACTTTAACCCTAACCATTACACTAGCCCTTCTGCTCACTTTTAATTCATTGTAATTCTAATGGGGTCACAAAATAGGCTCCAACCTCAACTCACTCAAATCAATTCTAAATCAGTTAGATGGGATTCAATCAATTTATTGGTTCCCCTAAATAATGTCTATGATTACCTAGCCAATTTATAGACCCATCCATGAATAAAACTAGACATCCTTCCGCTGACTTCCATCAAGTGCCTAGTTCAGTTTCCAATTAAGTGAACTGGTAAGGCATTTAGGATAGAGTTTCCAAGGTACTACTTTGCTTAGTCACTACCTTTGCCTCTATCCTTCTCCAAAAGCTAACGGCCAGATCTCTTTCAGCCAATAGTCCCATAGATAAACACCCAAGGAACCAACCAGAATATTAAAAGAATGCCACATTTCCTTTGGAGATCATGCCTTAGATACCTTTGAAGTCCTCTCATTAAGGATGGTGGGCTGGACTCATTCAGTCCTAGCTTGCCTACCAGAAACTCGACAACCGCAGGATTGGCAAAGCCCAAGGAATGATGCAAAACCTCTTCATATGTTTCCAGCCCACTGGCTATTTCAACACTCCTCCTGGAAGAAAAGAGAAAACACACTGATGAGTGTGGGTTCCACCTTAACAGGGTGGGGCAATGTATTCCCCATTAACCTTTCGTCACAATGCAAGAGGGGCCAGAATAAAGATTCAATAAAACAGTTATGAACAGGATACAGTAGGACCCCCCTATCCACGGGATCAGTAACTGCTGATTAACTTGTCTGCTGCCTGGAAATACTACTATGTAAAACCCCTCAGAACTATGGATTTAGATGAGTTTCCAGTGCATTTACCAGAATTGGCCATCAGGAGGAGCCAGAGACCATGCAATGTATGGCATTCAATAATTCCGTGTTTTCTGCATCCATGGTCCTACTATATTCCAAATCACCTAACAGGCTACAAGCTCTGCCTCCTGAAACACCAGGCACGATTGCAGGAAACATTGAAACAATAAGCAACAAATGAATCTTGATTAATAAAATACAAATATTTTGGCATGCTGAGCCACCAACACCACAAACTACACTATCCAATTTATATTGAACTTCTTGTGTTCAAGCAGCACTGCCTTTAAAAAAAAAATTTAATCAACTTAATGTTATCCCCTTTTCTGGTTCGCAATGGGAATTTCTTCTGCATGAATAGCGGCCAATCACTGCAAATGGCAACACTAAATGAAGTATTCCTTATGGTCTAACAAATCAAAACAATTCAAAACAATTGTGCTTCCCTATTTTATCACAAACACATGCTCTGTAACTGGAAAAAAATTGCATGCATGTATGTACAGTCTGCAGTCAATTAATGGAAAGAAGTTTCTGTTCACCTTCAGTTTAATACTCATTAACAAAGAAGGTCTTTTTAATATACAACAAAGCTACAGACAAATAAAAAATACTTATTAACAAAGGCCAGGATACTGCTGAGTGCAACAGTACTTGTGCAAGAATGCTCTGTAACTGGAAAAAAATTGCATGCATGTATGTACAGTCTGCAGTCAATTAATGGAAAGAAGTTTCTGTTCACCTTCAGTTTAATACTCATTAACAAAGAAGGTCTTTTTAATATACAACAAAGCTACAGACAAATAAAAAATACTTATTAACAAAGGCCAGGATACTGCTGAGTGCAACAGTACTTGTGCAAGAGATTTCCCTCGGCCAAAATCCTGCTGAGTGCAACAGTACTTGTGCAAGAGATTTCCCTCATATAGTGTACCATCCATCCTTCAAGCAGATGGTTTTACGTTTGATTTTACAAACAAAAGAAGTAATTCTGATAAAAGTTTGAGGCATCAACCAGTCTAAGGTTAAGAAAGAATAAACTATTGTTTATTTAAAACAGCTTGGAAGGGACAATTGCATCTTCCAACATCCAATCAGACAATACGAACCCATCATCTTAGTAGTTACAGTACACACATGGTACACCTATACACATAAGACATGCAGATTGGAATGCACCATGCTGAAATGTTTTAATAGTGTGAAACCATTGCCCTGTTAGAAACTCATTTACTCCTGATAACATCAACACTGCCATCTGAGCTAGGAGCCAAGTGGTCTAAAATGTAAGAATACCCTTGTTAAGAATGATAATTCTTGCTTTTAAACAAAGGCTAATGGAGCCAAAGTGCACAATGAGTCATGAACAACAGATATTGCTAATTTTCATCTTGCAGCAACAAAAACCATCCCCAAAAAAAGGAAATGCAAGAAAGCCCATCACACAGCAACAACAACCATCCCTCAAAAAAAGGAAATGCAAGAAAGCAAAGTGGCTGTCCAAAGAGGCCTTACAAATAGCAGAGAAGAGAAGGGAGACAAAATGCAAAGGACATAGGGAAATATATAGAAAATTAAATACTGACTTCCAAAGAAGAGCAAGGAGAGACAAGAGGGCCTTCTTAAATGAACAGTGCAAAGATACAGAGGGAAATAATACAAAGGGAAAAACCAGAGATCTGTTAAAAAAATTGAAGATATTAAAGGAAGATTTTGTGGAAAGAGAAAAGACAAAAATGGTAGGGACCTTATAGAAGCAAAAAAAAACATCAAGAAGAGGTGGCAAGAATACACTATACTAGAAAGGTCTGGATGTCCCAGACATCCTGGAGCGTGAAGTCAAGTGGGCCTTAGAGAGCATGGCTAACAACAAGGCCAGTGGGGGAGATGGAATTCCAGTTGAACTATTTAAAATCTTAAAAGTTGAGGCTGTTAAGGTGCTACATTTAATATGCCAGCAAGTTTGGAAAACTCAACAGTGGCCAGAGGATTGGAAAAGATCAGTCTACATCCCAATCCCAAAGAAGGGCAGTGCCAAAGAATGCTCCAACTACCATACAATTGCACTCATTTCCCACGCTAGCAAGGTTATGCTCAAAATCCTACAAGGTAGGCTTCAGCATGTGGACCGAGAACTCCCAGAAGTACAACCTGGATTTCGAAGGTGCAGAGGAACTAGAGACCAAATTGCTAACATACGCTGGATTATGAAGAAAGCCAGAGACTTCCAGAAAAACACTGAAAAACTACTACCGCTTCATTGACAACACAAAGCCTTTGACTGTGTGGACCACAGCAAACTATGGCAAGTCCTTAAAGAAATGGGAGTGCCTGACCACCTTATCTATCTCCTGAGAAACCTATATGTGGGACAGGAAGCAAAGGTTAGAACTGGATAGGGAACAACTAATTGGTTCAAAATTGGGAAAGGAGTACAACAAGGCTGTAAATTGTCCCCCGGCTTATTTAACTTATATGCAGAATACATCATGCGTAAGGCTGGACTGGCGGAATCCCAAACCGGAATTAAGATTGCTGGAAGAAATATCAACAACCTCCGATATGCAGAGACCACTCTGATGGCAGAAAGTGAGAAGAAATTAAAGAACCTCTTAATGAGGGTGAAAGAGGAGAGTGCAAAAAACGGTCTGAAGTTGAACATCAAAAAAACCAAGATCATGGCCACTGGTCCCATCACCTCCTGGCAAATAGAAGGGGAAGATATAGAGGCAGTGACAGTTTTTACCTTCTTGGGCTCCATGATCACTGCAGATAGTGACAGCAGTCACGAAATTAAAAGACGCCTGCTTCTTGGGAGGAAATCGATGACAAACCTAGAAAGCATCTTAAAAAGCAGAGACATCATCTTGCCAACAAAGGTCCGCATAGGCAAACCTATGGTTTTTCCAGTAGCAATGAATGGAAGTGAGAGTTGGACCATAAAGAAGGCTGACCACCAAAGAAATGATGCTTTGAATTGTGGTGCTTCAGAGTCCCCTGGACTGCAAGGAGAACAAACCTATCTGTTCTGAAGGAAATCAACCCTGAGTGCTCACTGGAAGGACAGATCCTGAAGCTCAGGCTCCAATACTTTGGCCATTTCAAGAGAAGAGAAGGCTCCCTGGAAAAGACCCTGATGTTGGGAAAGTGTGAAGGCAAGAGGAGAAGGGGACGACAGAGGATGAGATGGTTGGACAGTGTCTGCGAAGCAACCAACATGAATTTGGCCCAATTCCAGGAGGCAGTGGAAGATAGGAGGGCCTGGCATGCTCTGGTCCATGGGGTCACAAAGAGTCGGACACGACTTAACGACTAAACAACAACATCAACAACAATTTCCATCTCGTACCTATAGTGCAGAGGTAAGTCTTCTGAGCAGATTACTCCCAATTTGGTACTTGCAAGGCTAGGAGAAAGAGCAGAGCTGTGCAGCGATACGGTGAGTTTTTCATGGTAGCGATCAATATCCTTGATTGCAGCTATTAAAATACAGGAAAGGCTAGATTTAAACAGCAGGATATCTTATCAAATTTGCTGAGTGTAAAAGTGTAGGGGCAGGCTTAGTAGCAATTATGCCACAAGTTATATCAAATGAACTTGCCTTGGATAAGATCACCAGTTTGATAGTATGATAAAGGGTCTCCATGGCTGCTTTGGGAAGGCACATCTCTCAATGGACAGAGAGCCTGAAAGAGACATTAATGCAAATTCACCATCAGACCTTTCAACATGGGCATTTTGAGAGGCAGAAAAGGGAACTTGTATCCTGAAATGGAATTCTTCATCAAGCTCTTTTACAAGAAAAGCATTTTTATTCACCTAATTTTAAGCTGACTAAACAGCAATCAGTCTCAACCCTGCTGCAACACTACCGCTATAGATTCAGGAAAGATATGAAAAGGCCCGTACTATTCTGCCAGTTTGTCCTTCGAATTCTAAATCACAAAGGTAGGAAACAATGGCCAATATCCAGCAGCTGCATTAAGCTTACGGTATCAACCATGGCATTTTTCTGTAAAATGCACACCCCCAGTAGCAAGGCACCCTTTTTTATGGGGAAGCCACGGAGGGCCACAGAACAGGCAGTCTTTCACTCTGAAAATCACTGTCTATGGAATTATATAAGCACAAGACATCAAAATGTCTTAAGGCTGCAAAATATTCAAAGTCATTCCTTTTCCAAGTCAGAAAACATTAAAGGAGGGGTGGGCAACAAGCAGAGCGTGAGTCGCATGCAGTTATCATGGCCATTTTTGCTATCCTGAGTACTCCCCAGGCCTGACACGTACCCCAAACTGATCCCCCTCATAAAGTTCTTCTACATATTGTACAAAGCACTGGAGGCAATTCTGCCTTGTTTTGAGGGGCTCCAGTATCCTTGGCACCTTCCCAGATACCTCCATTATTATTATTGGTACTTTTTTTTGGCCACTACAGTCCACACAGGGGCTTTTACAGTTTTATAAAGTTAAATCCATTTTCAGTTAACAAGAATCTACTGTAGGAACTTTTACAGTGTATGACCAGGGCATTTTTAAAATTAGCTCTTTCGACCTCATGTCTTGGGAGTGCCGCCCTTAGTCTACTGGCAATTCTGAAAAATGGCCTTCTGCCCCTCTGAAATTCCCCCCCCCATGTTGAGGCCAACACTTCACCATCTTGAAGGTTGCACCGACTGCCCCAAAGCAAGCCACCTTGCAAGAGCCCATCGAGAAACAAAGCTATCCAATGTTCCATGCCCTCTTCAACAATTCACAAATCAGCACTCATGAGACTTACAGAGATTTCTAAATCTGCTATGTCTCGCAATACACCACTTCGCAGGCAGAAGAGCACCATGAAAAAGCCAAATTCACGAATAGAACTAATCCTTCCAATCACTATGTCTCCACGTTCAACATCTCGGAAAAACAGCTCTCTCCTCTCGGCACTGGGAACATCCATGAACTGCTCCAGGGGTGGTATGATAGCACAATAATCTTAAAAGGATGAGAACAAGAAAAATCATGTTTAAATATACAGTAGTATAAAGGGGCACTTATATGGCAACACCATCCTCTGTGGAATACAATAACACTGTTGTACCACAAGAACTATCAGCAATTAGCTAAATCCAATTGTTAGACACATCTAGAATAGACCACTACCTCAACAAGGTCTTGCATATGTATTGACCTAATTAATACTATTCATTCCAAGGCTCTACTTTAGTTGAGCTAACAACTGGATATAATCCTACAAACATAATTTGCAAAACAGAAAAACCTTCTGGAACATGCAAAACCTCTTCAAATGTTCTGACCCACTTTCTTGGAAAAGGGCATAAAATTTCCATAAACTAGTTACGTCATTTATGAAACTCCTCACAAGCTCTTTCCAATATGCTACCGCGAGATAAATAATGCACTCATTCTTTTTATAAAACAGGTTTTACCATTTCGCTCATTATTCTACGCAACGCTGAACATAACGGCTAATCTCCAGGTGAAAAGAATATGAAAATAAAGTATATTTGAAAAACAGACACTTCCTTGGATATATGTAAGCTGAATATAGTTACTGTTTGGAGAAGAAAATTTATTCCATACAGGCTTCCGGATTTCATTATTCCTGACCTATTTGTATGTATATTTAAGAGCTTTTCCAGAATAATCTCTAAAACAAATGTCTGGAACAAACAATAAATGTAACAAAATTATATCATTTTTCATTTCCCAAAAGCCACACTGTGCCACCTACTGACAAGTATAACAAAAATAAATGCCACTTCAGTGTTTAGGTAGAAAGCCCTCAAACCAAGGGATGATGAGCCATGTACTCAAGTACATTAGGCTGAGATTCTGTTCAGTCAAACTACTTTTGCAATGACTATGGTGTGAGCCATTTGACATTTATCTTGCTCATGCATGGACTCATATACCATCACAGAATAATTAAATTGGAAGGGGCCTATAAGGCCATCAAGCCAAACCCCCTGCTCAATCCAAATCAAAGCAGATCTGACACACAATTGTTCCATTTTCTCTTGGATGCCTCCAGCACTGGAGCACTCACCACCTCTCAAAAGTGATTGGTTCCACTGCCATACTGCTCTAACAGTTAAGAGATTTTTCCCTTTATTCAGCAAAAATCTGTTTTCCTGTAGCTTGAGCCCATTATTACATGTCCTCCACTTTGGAATTATCAAGACCAGATCCTGCCCCTCCTCTGTAGGACTGCCTATCTGTACTTATTTAAGCAAGTATAATCAGGTTATCACATTACAGATATCTGCATGAGGAATGGCAATCCCCAAACTCCTGCTTTATTACACTGGTTAGGCAGAATCATCTCCATTACTCTCAGTAATAACCCAGATTAATTAATTAATACACAGACACTTCCATTTCCCCCGTCAGTAACAAACTATAGTCAATATACAGAATTAATTTTATTTAATGAAGACATTGAAGAGAAGTCTGGCACACTCCCAGACTGAACTCCTGGAGATGGACATAAGTACTGTCTGTATTCTACATCAATATTTGCAAATACTGTTGAAAACATGCTAAATTTTTACAATGATTGTATTATTAGCAACATCTGAATTTTGAGTAAAGCAGCGCAATCAGATTCTAACAGTAGTAATTTAGAGTATCACTCTAGAAAGCATTTCACTCAAATACTAAACAAGCAATGATTTTATACATTTTCCATTCCCTCCCCTCTTTCATCCTGATGCAGAAGTCTCCCTCTGAATTTTTAAATTATTCTCACAGGCATCTCCATCTTTTACAGTGAGTTCTGATAACACACACATTATTCATAATTATATGCCATCAATTCAATTTCAACTTATGGAAAACCCTCCCAGGGTTTTCTAGGTACAACATATTTAAAAGTTGGTCATCAGTCTCGCCTCCTGGCAGAACATGTTAACCTCACCAGTCACACAGGCTTTGAATTATCTCAGCTGGATCCCTTCCATGAGGTAAACGCTAAAAACAATACAGTATTCAAAAATGTTTGAAGAATTAATGACATTATATTTAAAATGTTTCATAAAAGGAGGTGTAGAGTCAACAAAAACACATACTGTATCAATTTTAACAGAAATTACAACTGTAACATTTTAGTGGAATCCTTACCTTCATTCTCTTCACTTCCTTCTGTAGTTATTGGCACACTTGCTTTCCAAGAATGAGAAAAAAGCAGATCAGCTTTTTTGGCAATGAAGTGTTGTATATCAATATTATCAATCCCTCTCTCTTTCCTGGAACACAAAAGATCAGTGAGTGGCATCATCTAAAGAATCAATATTGTGTATCAAGACATGGCAATTTATTCTGATTACTATAACATTATAGACCACATGCTCTCTCATTAAGTGCTAAATCGTTTGCAAAGTACTGTACACAGCTCCTCTTCTCCAGTTGATCCCAAGCAGCTGGAGCTTTATAATTAGAGAGTCAACAACATAACACAGATTATACTGCTTTCTGCCATTTTTGTGCCTGAAATATATTGGCTTCTGTTCAGCTATCTGGCCTATCTACAACACATAACTTAACACACTATGTGGCAAACCTGAGGTCGATAGAATGCAAGACTCTGTATACTTATTCAGAAATCAATATCAGCAAGTTCATCAAGGTTCACTGCCTAGGAAATATATTTAAGGTTCTGACAAGGGCAAGTGGGACGTAGCTGCTTAATATCTAATATAATTCTGTGCAGTCAAGTCAAGTCAAACCTATGAATACCCTTGCCAGGGTTTTCTAGGTAGAGAGTACTCAGAAGTGGTTTCCGAATCCCTTCTTCTGGGGATGCCCTGGGACTGTGCAACTTACCCAAGACTACACAGGCTGGCTCTTCTGGGACACACAGTGAAGAAATGAACGCCCAGCCTCTGGCTCTGCAACTAGATACCTAACTCACTGAGCTATCCAGCTAGCTGCTTTATTCTACCAACTGTCAAATTAGCAATAGGACATGTCCTAACAACTGTGTTCAAGTGACATTACAACATCACATTGGAAGACAATTAAGTTTATATGGCAATTTTCTACAATGAAATGGAGGAGCAGCGTAGAGAAGGTGCACAGCTCTGCTAAAAGCATATGCTTTGTATGCAAAAGATTCTCAATCTATTCTCTGGCATGTGACAGAATGTAATAAAACCCATTATTTCACATTTTGGAGAGTCCTTCCTAGGCACATGAACTGACTCAACATAAAGCAGACCTAAAGCCTAACTGAAGCTACACAGGTAACACTATTCATTGACCTTATTCCCAGCTATACCGCAGCTTGATTATAAACATTGTATTTTCCACAAATATTCAGAGGCAGTCTTCTCACCCCTCACGGCCGCAAGGGCACCATGTTTAATATCTAATGCTTACACATACACTTTATATATTCATACACACTCTCATACCATGTTTGATTATAAACATTGTATTTTCCACAAATACAGTATTCAGAGGCAGTCTTTTCACCCCTCACTGCCGCAAGGGCACCATGTTTAAGATCTAATGCATACACATACACTTTATATATTCATACACACAATATATTCATGAGTGCTTTATGCACCAACCCGTCGTGGTCTACTTATGCCTACCTTGGCAGAGCTTTCAAGGAAAGTGAGATATCTTAGGAGTAGGGTTACCAGTTCCAACCCCCTCCACTGCATAAGTTTCCATAGCCAAGCTGGGGTTCAACACTAGGGTTCCTAAGCCCTGTCCCTTCACTGTATTCCCTACAACCACACTGGGTACCATACACAAATACACATATGCAGGACACTTTTTCAATCCCATTCCACTCACAATCTAACAAGAAGATAAAGCATTTTATATAGGAGGGAGGGAGGGAGGGAGGGAGGGATAGATAGATAGATAGACAGATAGTAAAGCATTTTATATAGGAGAGATAGATAGATATAGATATATATAGACATATACATACAGAGGCACACACTGCTTTATCTTTCCTGTGTTATCAGAAAGACAGAACTGATAAGATAGAGCACTATAGATACCTCCTATACACAAGGTTCTCTCTTCCCATTAGGCTGTTAGTGGAATAGGACTAAAAGAGTGTCCTTCATGTGTTTTTTTTGGGGGGGTGTCTATAAATCTTTATAGGACTCCACCTATCAAGATCTGACACATATACATATGGATCTTAAAATGTCTTATGTTTTTCTACGGGAAAGCGCATAGATCAGCATCCCTCTCTTTGTGCAACCGCCTATAGAGGTCAAGCTGCGAGAATGATGACTCGGCAGTGGAGCCCCCCCC